ACGATCCTAAATCGGATCTCAAAAGTTCCGTTTTGTACCTAAAAAAGAAGGATTTTAGTCTGATTTTTAGTGTCGTGTTTGAATTGTCCAGCAAAAATATTTAAGGCTACCTCTGAGGCAGAAACTTTCGTCAAATTGTTGATTTTGAGAAAAGTGCATAAAAATGTAGCCCCAAGTGTCCTCTTTCAAATGCATTAATTTTTATTCGGCAAAAAAAAACATATTATTTCACGAAGTTTTCTGGAAGTTCTAAGGATAGCATATATTATACATGCTTTATAGGTTGAAAAATGATGTTGAGGAAAAATGTTCCTATAAACATACGTATATACGGTACATGCGTGAGCATATGCATGCACATCTTCATGATCGAAAACCTGTTGAAAACTTCACTATTGTTTTTAGTAAACAAAGACATGAAAAGAGAATGAGTGTTTAGTAGGAAAAAAAAAGATGTTTGCATTTTCCTTCAAACTACTTTTTAGTTGGGCGAAATCCACTGTCCGGTAGACTTTGCGGTAATGAAAAGATCAAAATGAGCTCACCTTTTTAAATTTGAAGCTAAGACGTAACTTAATCTGATATTTTAAAATCAACCTAAGCTCTCTAAGGAGAAATCTGCTGGACAGTCGACGCCGGTTTTTAGGTACAAAACGGAACTTTTGAGATCCGATTTAGGATCGTAAAAATCGTTTACTGGAAAGAGCAACATGTTGTAGAATTTGAATTTTTCGATTTCTGTTTATGCTGGACAATCGACGCCCATTTTGACTCTTAGCCGAGCGGCTTCTATTGAACAAAAGTAAATAGAGCCTTTGTTAGAAGTTTTATCACATTTTATTTTAGCAACGTGTCGCACAAGCTTTTTGTGGCTTCTAGTATTCGTAATTCTACGAAAACATAGCAAATACTCATTTTAAGAAAAGCATATGGCTAGTATCCACACAAAATTCTCTATCTTTCAGCATTTATAACGATGTTTTCTCGTCATGTGTAACTAACTTGAAAAAAATCATTGCAAAAACCGATAATTTAACCTCCCCTACCAATTATTACATCTACTAATAGCTACTTTCCTTTAGGTATTCGATAAATATGGTATGTTTATTCGTGTATTACGACCAAAACTCGATCCACTATACGGTCCTCAAGGTCTTAGTTTTCATTCATGTTCACAAACACTGGCTATAGCTGATTCTGGTAGCCATTCGGCCAAATTATTTTCGGTGAGAGAGTTATTGACGTCATCGACGCAGTAAATCTTTTTGTAGGTTGTTTTTTTTGTATAAAAGTTTAATAACGACTACCATTTACTTTATTGGATCCAAAAAAATAAACATAACTGAAAATCAAATAAATAACAAACAAAAAAAAAAAACAACATCTCTTTACAAGTTAGCGAGATCCGTACGTCGTTCTAAAACATGCTGTACTTCGTTTTCATTCAAATGATGAATGCCAAGTTCATTTAATGGTGAGTTGATTTTGCCGATTTTTCGACTGTTTGTTGACGATGATTGATTCACTAGTGTATCCTTTAATAATAGAGCAGATCCAACAGGCATTGTCAATAATATGGCAGATTCTCGACATCTAAACAAACGAACATTAGTAGTTTTTCACTAATGATAGATAAAGATTAGATACCTGATAAATAAAAGTATCTCGTTTGGTGGAAAATATTCATTACATACACGAAGCCAACCTTTATTCAAATCGTATAAAAACTGCGCAGCACCACCTTCGTTAAAACTATTATCTTGTATTACCTGTCATAAAATACCATAGATTATTTACCAATTTTTATCAATAATAGAATATTACTTACACAACTGAAAAGAAATTCGTCAAATTTTTTTAATATTTTTTGAAATATGTTATGATAAATTGTTTTCATTAATGATGTAGATAAAGTGGAAAATATAAATTGAATTTCTAATAGTATTTCAGAACATGATGGTAATACATTCATACTAAAATAATCTTTGGCATTTGGAAATGATGACCAACTATAAAAGACAAAACGAGAAGACTAAACTATTTTCTTGACAATAATAGAACTATAGTATAGAAGATAAAAAATGTCTACCGTTCTTTTATATATCGTCGACTTTTTGATTTGAGTATTTTTAATGTATGGCTAATAATTGAGTCACAATATTGTTCTTGAGTATTTCTATATGATTTAAGAACTATGTCCAACACTGTTTCCGAGTTATCCTTAGTCACAAGAGTATTTTCAGATAAAATCGACGATGGCTATTAAAACAAAAGTAAATGTGACGAAATGACTAGTAAAAAGAGAATAAAATAAAAAAACGTACTTGTGTTAAGTCAAATTGTTGTGCCAAAGTTGGATCAATTATCAGTCTCATATTATCATGTATCTCGTCAATTTGCTCATTCTCTTTTACTGGACGAGAAATTCCATATTTATTTTCAAATGCAACATACTTTCTATATGCAGATTGTAAACATAAAAATTCCCAGAAAAGAGAGAAAAAAATAGTGCTCCATTGAATATACAAGTTTTACTGATTATTACCGGTTTGATTCTCCATTGCTCAATTACATCAGCTACATAACCAATAGAATTCAATAATGAACAAAATTGTTTTGATAATGGTTCTAATTGTTGTTGTGAATCAGACGAAATTATAGAACGATGATATTCATTGATAACATCAATTTCCAGTGATAATAATCTCAAAGCACACGAAGGATAAGGTACATACCGATAGCGATCTAAATTAAAGAGTAACAAAAAAACAAGATGAAATATGAACTCTATGTTAATTTATTGAGGTTAGCTATGAGCTTTAAAACTAGTAATCTTAGGATTTCGAAAGACTGACGGAAGAGCACATAATATCTAGAATCACTTTTATCTGTTTTTAAGTGTTATCTTGAAAAAACATCGCACCTTTGACATTAGTGTGCTTGAGTATGACGTAATTTGTTGCTCTATACAAAGAAGTTTGAAGTATAAACCACTCCATCACATGACAAGCACAAAGAAGATAAATACATAAGACAAAGGAATAAAAGAGTAGTTTCTTTCCTTTCTTTCTTTTTTTTTTTATTTATTCTTCTATCTAAATGTTTCATCTCATATTTCTAATATGCATAAAATTGATAATAGCAGTCACAAATAATACTGATGATGATGATTTTGATAGACCAGTGCTAGCTCTTGCAAGCGATACATCAATACATTTAGCTCAAATAATTGAACTGAATCATGATTTTGATGAAATAAAACGAATTTATCAACAGAATAAGTCGATTTATAAATTCAACAGTTTAACATCAAATATTGAAACAGAATCAATATATGTGTGTACTCAAACAACAATTTACATTTTAAACTATGATCAACAATCTAAATGGTTACTAACTCCACTTATACCTGTTGATGATACACCATGTTTAAGTAGTTTGTACTATGCTCAAACATCTTGGAACACACTAATATGGTCCTATCGACATGCTGTTATAGAATATCAGTTGAGTGAATTAGTAAAACATCGACTATGGAATACAACCTATTTTATTAATTATTTCATCTATAATGAAACAGAAGACGGTTCTATTTATTTGAGCGTTAGTGCAGCCGCAACAGAAAAAACATCTTATATAATTCGATGTAAATATACATTTTCATTATGGTTATCGTCTTGTATCATAATGGATAGTGGTTACTCTGATATATGTTCAATGTTTATAAGTGACAGTCAATTGTATTTAGCAGATAGAATTCAAAAACAAATTTATCAATTAACAATTATAAATGGCATTGTGAAACGAAAACATACGTTATCATTAAATTCATCACAAGTAGCTGATATACATTCGTTAATTGCTTACAAACACTATGTTATTTGGTTAACATTAAGTGGTCATGTACGATTATACTCATTTAAAACGAATTTGACAAGAACATTGTTTTGGATCAATGAAGATCTTTATACATTACAATTGATACCGTTTGGTAGTTGGAATCAAACCTCAACAACTACAATACATTCATCTTCCACCACGATGCTCACTCATACTTCGATAAAAACGACGATGACATCATCAAGAAATATTTTGCTTAATACAAATCCATGGAAAACAACATCGTATATAACAACAATATTGATGAGTGTGGCCCTCTTTCTTTGTGCATCAATGATTACATACATGATGATAACATATAAATACAGTCAACGTATACCAAGTTTTACAAATATACTACACGTACTAAGACGTCGAAGAGAAAATGAACGAAATAATCTATTTACGGTATCCATGAATGAATCGACTACGTAACAGAATATTTTGAATCACTCTGAATTTAGAAAAGTGAATATTTCGTTAATATATTACTCAAAAGTCCTCTTAGTTTGAACAGAGAATTTTAATATACTACTATAATAAACTATTTTAAGTAAATACCTTCCATTGCATGAAGTAAAGTTAAAAATGTTTCAGCACATTCTGGAATTTTTAAATCATCATTTGTTTTTTCTAATATTTTATCGTAAACAGACGTGAATGCTGTCGATGATTGAAAAATCTCTCGTAGTCTAACTTTGGCAGCTAAAAAAAGATTAAAGACAACATTAGTTATCTGTTGTGTGTGCCTAAAATAATGTTATATAACATACTGTCTTGTTCCAATTGATACCATTTTTCAAAAATAACTTCATCACATAATAAATTCATACAACTTGGTAAGTCTTTAGGATAATCACAATCTGTATCGTATAAACGTTGTGAAAATATCAATATTTCTTGCACATAATGTTTAAAAGTAGTCGTATTTGTCAAAACAAATGTCATTTCACTGTCAATTTTAGCTACAACAAGTTCTAGTAGACCACGTATAAATTCTATCTAAACAGAAAACAAAAAACCTTGTTTTATACCTCATCAAAGCTAATAAAAAGACTTTTGAATAATTACTTTTGCATTGATATGTGAATATTGAAATTCAACTAAAATTGGTTGAATTTTTACACTAAGAAAATAATTATGTTCGATTATCCAACTCGTAATCTGATTTAAAAACCATTCAGGCTAGAAAAAAACGAAAAATAAAAATAATTTCTAATGTTTGACATTTTACACTTCTATAAATACTACTACTTTACTTTTGCCATGTTGTTTGTTTTCTTATCACCATAAAAATGAAATAGAAAACGTTTTTTCAATGGTTGTATTAAAAATAGAATAAACAATGGCAATGGTTTCCAACCGGGAAAACGTAATTTTGACTTTGTATCTGTATGTTTAGAATTTGTCGGTAATCGTATGCGTAATATCAAGTGAAAACATTGTTTAAATTCTTCATAATAACTAGTGAATAAATCGTTAAGAATTGATGCTGATGTTCTATTAATGTAAGGATATTGAATAGATTTCAGTAGTTCTTCCATACGTCTAAAAACAAGTATAAAGATGAATAGACAAATGTATAGAAATACTGAATGATTGATTACTTACACGCTTAACTTTACTTTTAACTGTTCATACCAGTACGCTGTTAAATTTTCACTATAATTACGTAAATGTTCACTCGATGTATCTTTGATAATTTCAGTTAAATTAATTAAGTTTTCATAGACACCAATGCATTCATACATTTGATTTTTTTCTAATAATCGTTTTAAATTTTCACTAAAATAAATAAGAGATATCAATTTGTAACAAGTATTTTGTTATATGAAGCATCTTCTGAAGATTATCTTTAGCTATCTAAGTTTTTAAATAAAAATTTTTTTATTATCACCTTTGTCTTTGAAATTGTTCTAAACATTTCATATAATAAACAGTTTTTTTCATTTCATTCAATCGTTTCATGTTTATACGAAAATCTTGTGCAAGAGTCTCAGTTAAATCTTCATGCGTTTTTATTTCAATCGATAATTTTCGTTCTTCAGTTTGTAACTGTCCATGTTGTTTCAATAATATATTTGCTTGTTTAACTGTTGTTTTTAATTGATTTATCACTGATACTGAATTACCGGGAAAAAACTAATACAATAGAAAAAAACATAAAACTGATACACAGTCATTTGACAAGTCACATATACACAACTGACCTGTTGATCAAGTAATTTTCGATCATCTTCAGCTTTTTTTAAAAATTTCGCTAAGAAATGTTCCGAATTATTTATTTCATCCGCCGAAATATCCACATCTTCATTTACATAAGAAATTAATTGTGTCCAAAAGTCATTGTCATTTTTACTATTTGATTTTAGAGTCATTCTCATCTACTAATTCTCACCGTTGATGAATGTACATTTAATGCTTCATAACAATATTGTTTTGCTTAGCACAATTCAAATCTATTAGATGTATGTGTGATGATTAATATTTCCTGATAGATACGTACGTTTATCAATAATAATATTAATTTTTAACCATCGATGATCGTTTTTTTTTGTCGTAAAACATCTAATTCACATAAACGATATTTATTTAAAGTCTGAAAAAGAAAGAAATCATATCAAATTAAGCAGTAGCAAGATTTTTCAACATAAATAGAAATAGTATTGCAGTTTACCTCGACAAAGTTGAATAGACTTTCAATTCCTCAGCTCATCAATCGTAAATAATTAGAAAGAGACTTTTCTGCTTTCTGATTTTTTGTCTTGCATCTAATGAAAATGAGACGAACTACGGAAAATGTTCAAACAAATACATAAGAATCCAATCAGACAGATGGACACTGAAAATATTGGATTGGTGACACAACTTCAACCGCTGTACGGCATATAAACTAGCAGCAATGAATTCAGTTTTGTAGTTTACTGTAAACTTTAATTCATGTGTTTGAGTCCGAATTTCTGCACAATTGATACTACGCCTTTTTCCATAGATTAGAATACACTAATGAATTTATCAGGAATTGTATTCTGGAACAATAATTCAACATAGCGTACGCGTTTTTTTGCTAATATCTTATTAGTAAGTAAGTTTATTCACGTGAAGTGGCAGTCGTCAAAAGTCACCGACCTATAATAACAGCGGTTCAAGCCAAACAATAAAAAGACAAAACAAAATTTAGAACATAGGAGCGACAAAAGAAATAAACAGTAGAACAAATACAAAAGTCAAAAGAAAACAACAAAAAAAGAAACCTAACATGCACACGAGATGAATAGTAATATGGCAAAATGTTTACTGTAAAAGATATTGAGATAAAGGACTTTTAAGTGATGACAAAGGAGAAAAACGATTTACTGATGCATATAGTTTATTCCAGTCAGAGACAGTTCTGTAGAAAAACGAGGAGTGAACTGTATGGGAAGAAACACAATTAATAAGAGGTGGATTACGAACATAGTTACAGTGATGGCAGCATAAAGAAGTGTAGTGTAGCCGATGAATAGGGTAAAAGACAAGAAGAAGGCTCAAACGACGATAAATTTTTCAAAAACTGTATGAATCTAAAGTATTTGTGGCGAAAAGAGATATTTGAGAGAGAGTTGTGACACAAGAAAAGAGACAGAAGAATTATAATGAAAGTTATGAGAAATAACACGTGAAATCGGTTTAGTTATACAGTGAAGGAGAGAAAGAGAAAACGAACTATCATAAAAGGCACAACAATCATTAATTTTAAGAGGAATATAGACAAAAAAGATTCGATACTAAAGTTTCTGGCGGAATTATTCCATGGACACGACTCAGTACACTTTGCTTACGCTGGCAAGAACAATGTCTTTAGTACGCTCGCTTCACCTCAGCGTGACGGAAACCAGAGCACCAAGACAGCATACTGAAGAAATAACAGTGAGAGGCTGCGAGAAATGTTATTTAGGTATTCGTCTAACAAACAAACACTGATTGGTCAAAAACTTCCTTCAATTAAAAACTCATAGTTGTCGCTGTATTTCATAAAATCGCCAAATACAAATCTTGTAACATGTAAAAGGAAAAAGTCAAGGAATCCAATAACTTTTGCCCAAAACACAGTGTGCGACAACGTGAACATTAGGGGAAAAAACGAAAATGAGTTTTTCCAGGATTCAATTAGTGACCAATATGCACTACAAAATGTCCGATTTAACGGTGAAAAATTTTCATGCAAATACTTAATTTCGCCGAGAAAAGTAAGTCGTGATTTTTAGTAGTTTTTGCGCATTTTCTCGGAAAAAACGCTTTTTTACGGCGGAAGAACGCAAACATAAAAACATAAAACTGATATATTGTGAAAGAGGATGAGTTAGGCTATCGATTCATAAAATATTTTTGGAATTAGCCGGTTTTTGGCGGAAGAATTGTTTATTTTTTTCTTTGGCAGGAGCTTCCGAAAGCGATGCATTTGGAAAAGTGAGCGCCCCTCCACATCCTCGCTCCGTTTTCGATGAAACTTTCAGCAATTGTTCCTCTATGTGGTACATCTATAGGGAATGTGCAAACATGCGCAAATGCTTCTAAGCGGTGTTGCAGATTTTACAAAAAACGTCAGTTTTCAGTGGTTTTTCGAGGTTTTTTGCATTTTATGATACTCTAATTGAAAAAATAAGGACATATTCGGAATCAGCGTAAAAAACTGCATCGAATGGTGTATAACTCATTGGCTTTTGGACATATACTTTTGAATCTTATCGAATTCTTAGATTTTGGGATCGGCACGTAGAATTTTTGCCCGAAAATTTAAAATCATGAACGCTTCTAAAATATTTTTCGATAGGTTTTCAGCGATGCTCTTTCCAATGGAATGGTTTTTGAATTCTGATAAAGTTTTTGAAGTGGTTTGGAGAGATTCGGTCTCTGGAAAACCCCTTGCGAAACTTTTTTAAAACTCGAAAACCATTCGGTTGGAAAGAGCGTCGTAGAAGACCTATAGAAAAATGGTTTAGATACGTTTGGACTGCTTTCAAAACTGATGTCCACGTGCTTAGTCAAAATTGCCCACTGTGCAAAACAAGAAGTTTAAAGATTGAAAATAACTCGAGTCTTCAAACTTAGTTGTTCCTGAACAAAAGAAACTTTTCATTTGACTTTTCACTTGAATTTCAGCGGTAAAAAGAAAAATATTTGATTTCTGGAAAACGTTTCTTGAAAAATAAGAATGATTTCTCATTCTTTAATCCTAAAGAAAGAAACAAAATGAAAGCGTTATCTGAAAAGATAGAGTCCGGAAACCAGCTTTTGCGTGCTATACAAGATAATGCAGACCAAAGGATGCATTTGTCAAAGTCCATTCAGATCGCTATCGTTCTAAACATATGTTCTATCCTCCTATTTCTAATACTTCTCATGTAAATCAATTTTCATTCATGAAAAAAGAAAGTATTTCAAGCTATATAGTTTTTTCTTTGTTTCACAAACGAATTTTCAGTACATCATAAGAAAACAAACACGAGTTGTTCAAAAAATTTCAATAAACACAACGAACAATTAGAAAATGAATGGAAGATATGTTATTTTGACAAAGAGTTGTTGATTATCAAGACACAAATGTCTTATTTTTAGATCCTTGAGCGTCTTGAAACAAGATTAGGCCCTTGCACGTCTAGTTAGACGAGAGACATTTGTTTACAGTATACATATATATATATATATATGGGTTTTCATTTTATAGTATATACATATATATTATATATATATATACTATAAAATGAAAACCCATATTGACACAACAGTTACCAGAAGGCTGAGAAATTTTACTTGTAACACGTTTTAAACGCGTATGAAATCTAGAAAGCGTTTTAAACACGTACACTGTCTGTTTCAGTCGAATTGGAATGATTCGCCAAAATTAATCAGAAAAAATTTTGAACGAGCAGAAAATATCAAATATAGTACACAATGAAATATTTCCCTTTCGTTCTTTTTCTGCTCGATTAACCCTTTTAGAAATACTCAAACTAGACCATCATCAAACCATTCAGCAAGAATTGCTCACTACTGTTCATTAAATAAATACAAATTTAAGATATCAGATTGTGCTATGACTGTATGATATTCATAAAGCATTTCTTAACAATTAAAAATGTTATGAGAGGTAGTGATCCATCTGTACGATGACGAATTGATTAATAAGACACATGCAACAATACCATTTATAAATACCTATTGTTTTACATGAAAATCGCGTAACTCTTCTACCGAAATGTCAATGCGTTATCCTTTTTCCTCTTTTTTGTTTATCTTATAATACTCGGAGGGAATATGATCGACTGCTGGAAAACGCCTTGTAGAACAAAGTGTGCTCTTCAAAGTAAAGCATTGGTTTAATTCGAAATAATCAAGCGTTTTTCAGCCACGATCGAAATATCAAAAGTCCTGAAAAGAATTAAGGAGTTTTACGGATTCTTTCTGAGCATTAAGGGATCCTTCAAGCAATCGATCGAACAAATTTTTATTTAGTATAATTAATTATTCATCCTTTCGACAATACATTTAAAAAAATAAAGTTATATTAGTTTTTCTTATACGACTGAAAGGTTTGTGAAATAATTACAGTATGGATAACATTGGATATAAGAGTGCAAGAGCATATAACCGGAACAAAAAAATAAAGATGGTTTTGAGTTGTTGAAAAGCTCTTTTTCGTATTCAGCACACTCAACAACCCAGAAGATTTTCTATTTTTGACGAGGAGAAAAATACTTCCAAAAGTTTAGTAAACATTTTGAAACAAAACAGCGCAAAAAGTTTTCATGGGAAAATAATATTAATTGAAAAATATTCTGGGTTATCGAGTGTGCTGAACACGAAAAAGAACTTTTCAGCAACTCAAAACCAACTTTATTTTTTCCGGTGATATGATTCCAATAATTACGGTGTAGACTCCACACCATAATCCTAGAGCTTTTTTAACCTTTTAACTTGAGATTTCAGAACTCTACCTTAGAAAAGAATTTGCAAATCTATTATTTTATGAAAAGACGTCTCCAGTTTCTTCTACCAGTTACGGAAAGCAGCAAAGTTTTATCTTTCTCCAATCAAAAATTACTCAGAAAACATTTTGAAACGATTAATAGAACACGTCACCTTAGCTGATAAGATCCTTCACAACATGAATGAGTGCAAGAATCTATAGATGAAATATACTACACGACGAAGTCAAGCGATAGATGCACAAGAAAGTTTTATATTATAAAATATAGTATAATGTATTAACTGTATAACCTCCTTCGATATATTAACGTTAGAATACATGTTTATCATTCAGTGATACTAATTTAATCAGAAGACGTTTCCATATTAAAAATGATAATTTCAATACTTTTTATCCCTATGCTAATTGTATACTGTAAAAAATAAAGTGTGCCCGAAACACATTGAACTTGCACGTCACTTTGATTTGCATTTGCACAGCCAGAAATGCACGACGTGATGTGACAGAAACACATTGGCAAAATTTACACACGTAGAAAAAAACGCACCAGTTTGATTCATATTTGCGCACTTAGACCTTTTACACATCTACGGGCACACTTTATATTTACAGTGTAACGATACTCGTTATACGCCTTTTTTGATCATGTTCTAAATCAATATGCGACAGTTTATTATTGTAAATTCTCTAAAAGTTAAGTTAATCAAATTCTCAGCAAAAACAATAACCAACAGCTCAAAAAGTCGTTTTACTCAAAAGAAAGATATTTTTAATTTAAACTTTCATTTTTTTAAATTTTTTTATCCAAGATTTTAATTAATTGAAATACCACATTATTAAAAGAAAGAGATCTATGTCAATGTCTAGAATACTGGAAACCTGCAAATATTCCCTCTTTTTTTTTGCTATGCGAAACGCTTTTATTTGTTTTCGGTATTTTTAATTTGCTAGAAAGTATTTAGTTTGCACGGGTTGCTCTATCGGACCATATTGTTATGAATGTTCACGATGATGAGTTAAACTCGTCGTCACTTAATATGTAAGTAAGAAAATAATCAAAAAGCTGTATATTCAAACAATGGGTTATGCATTATTCACTTTTTAGTTAAAAGCCACTTGCAATATAAAGTAGTCGGGTTTTAAAAATCTCTATAGAACTCAATCATATGTTAAATCCTTATTTAACAAATATAATTTTAATTATACTGTGAAGAAAATTAATTGATAAGTAATATTAGTGATATCATCTGTATACCGTTAAGAAGCACTGGATTTTGTAATAAGGTTAATCAAGATATCTTTCCCAATAAAAATTTATAACTCTATAACAGCTTGTTCTCCAGTTCTCAAACCCGTCCCACATAGGTAGTTTAACATGCTCGACAATCTAGCACTATCAGAATGTGTTTTGAGAAAACTTCGTTAAAGATTTCTAGAGACCCTAAATATGAACACAGGTCCAGAAAGATCGTATGGAAACGGATGAATATTAGTGATTCGAGAGCAAAGGTGATCGATAAAGAGATAAGCGTTCCGAAGTAGTACGTTCGCAAAAACTTGTGGAATTGACATCACAACCCAACACTACAAGGATCTATTCTGGGATTGCTTAGCAGCTTTCTCAAAGACTTCTGAAGGCTGTACTAGCTCATGCTAAGAAAGAAACCGTTCCTCAATTAATCGTTGCGTTTTGATGGCTTGTGAATAGCAACCAAAAATTTTTTTTGTCTTCGTTCTCAGCGAAATATTCGTCGTAGCCTATCCTAGCACTGTTATCGCGATGATTTATCCATGGGTGATGGTAGGCGAGTGAGTCGATTGATGTCTGGAATATCGACAGATGACTTGATGCTTTAGATAAATTAATGAAAAGTTACCCTTTTCTTCCCACTGAGATGGAGATGTTTTTGAAACCGACGCAAATTTTAAAAATCACCTACATCCAGCTTTCAATTCACTTTTATTCATTTTCAGCTTTTCAATTCACTGTTTTCTTCCAAAACACTTTTTTCTGAAGTGACTGACTCTTCTCAAGTCCTCCGATGACGCTATCTTTATCAAATAATTTTCTTTATATCTTAGAGTGAAACTGATACAAAGTAAACAAACGGTATAATGTTAGTTATGAAAACAAAAAAATTGTTATGAGCAATGTCAGATAAGTTATGAGGATTTTCGTACGCGTAGTTTGCCTATGCACAATGGGCAATTACGTGGATTAGGTGAAAAAATGGAAGAGCACTTTTTTAATATTCTAATAGTGTCAAATATACTTTGAAATACGCTCTAATTAATAGCATAAAAGTTTTTGTCCCAACTGTCATAGTTTTTCGGAAAATATTTATGAACGGCTGGTTTCAGTAAAATGAGGGCTCCCCCCATATCTCAACTTCAAACTCATTCAAACTTTTACGGAATGTTCTTCTACATGTCCTCCATCTATCGTGAATGTGCAAGTCATCCAGGAAAGAGATACTGAGGTTTTTCAAGGTATTTTCCATTTTTCTCAGCTTAGAAGCATTTTTATTTAGAAGTAATGTGATGTTTGGAATTTGCATCGAATGGTGCGTAAGTTGAAATATTTTTCTACAAAAAAGTTTTCGGTCAAACTGAATCGTAGCGCAGGAGCTTTATCGCAGCAAATTTTGCATGGGTATTCAAATATTCGTTTTAGCGACTGGACGAAAGTCTATGAACACATTTTTTACAGATTTTCGAATATATTCTTTTCAATAGTGAGATTTTCCAAATTCAAAGTAATTTTTTCTAGGTTTTCTGAAGACCGAATCTCTAGAAACGCCATACATATCACCGGAAAAATAATAAAGTTGGTTTAGAGTTGCTGAAAAGTGGTTTTTCGTATTCAGCATAACCCAGAAGATTTTCTGTTTTTGGCCCGAGGTACTTCCGAAAGTTTAGGAAAAGTTTTCAAATTAATATTATTTTTCCATGGAAAACTTTTTGCGCCATTTTGTTTCAAAAGTTTTCTTAAACTTTCGGAAGTACCCCGGGCCAAAAATAGAAAATCTTCTGGATTATTGAGTGTGCTGAATACGAAAAATCACTTTTCAGCAACTCTAAACCAACTTTATTTTTTTTGTTCCGGTGATGTGAAACTGTTTTGGATTTCGAAAATCTCACCATTGAAAAGAGCATATTCGAAAACATATAAAAAACGTGTTTATAGACTTTCGTATCACTTCTACAGCATATGTTCACGTGCGTAGTCAAAATTGCTCACTGTGCTACGGCGTTTCTTTTTTTATTTTTCTACAAGATTTGATTTTTTATTTAATAACACAAACAAAAATATAAAAAATCGCTCGTAAAAGAATGAAGAAAAACTTTAATGAAGTCCTACCTCAAAAGAGCGTGAGAGAATAATAAGAAAAAGAGCTTTTATTTTGAAACTCTTCCATTCCACAACTTTAAACAGATGTGGAAGAGAGAACAACAAGAAAGCACTTTTGACAAGGAAAGGACACAAAGTAATCACATATCAACCCATACCACCTAACCAAGCGGGTAATCCGGCACCACCCATGGCACCTCCCGGAGGAAAACCAGCATTGCCGGGGAAACTTATATTCAATCTTTTTATTGCTCGTCCTTGTGCTCGAATAGCAAATAGCAGTGCGGCATATTGCATTAGTTTTTCTTCACCACGACTACAATGAATAGCTTTTTCATATAATTCGGCTGCTTCATCAAATTGGTTTCTATAAAAAGAATAAAACAATACAACATAACATAACAAAATGGTCGTTATAGATCTTACCTATTGCATTTAAAAATAGCATACATGGTTAAAACAGTTTCATTTGATGCATCATAGTTCAATGCTTGTTTGTACAATCTTTCGGCTTCATCAGCATTCGATGGATCAGTTGTCATTAAACAATTTCTATAAAAATACAATTTATAATTCTTGTGATTGTGTATAAGTTGAAAACTTACGCTTTAAGTGCTAATAATGTTGGACTGTCTGGAATTTCTTGAATAAATTTATTTAAATATTCTAATGCTTTATCTTTACGATCGTTATCCAAATAGGCTGATGTTAAGGCTAATGCATAATAAATATCTTTTTTACATGTATCAAAGTATTCTTCAAATTGTGATAATGCTTGATCTACAAGATATTTATTATTATTTTTTGAGCCAATTTTTGTATCATTAATTAATTTTTGATATTTTGCACGTAAATTCGTTGGTGATATTTCAATTGCTTTAGCAAAATCTTCATCAGCATCCTCATATTGTTCTAATAAAGTTTTTAACTATAAAGTATAGAAATGACTAAAACGACAGAGTATGTCATATGTGTCCTATTACCATTCCGGAATGGACTCTTGGTGTACAAGAATTTGGATGTGAATCAATACATGTTTTATATTCGTTCATTGCTCCTTCTAAATCCCGTAAATGTATTCGAGCGTTTGCACGTTTGAGTTTTCCATTTATTTTCATCTGAAATTGATAAAAAAGATCATAGAAATAATAACAATCGTGATCTAGTATTTTCTATATACTTCTTCAGTTGAATTTAGATCATCAATAACAGTGTCAAAATCGGCAACAGCTTCGTTATATTGACCATTTAAAATATAAAATGATCCTCGTAATAGACGTGCTTGATTTTTATACTCAGAATCTTCACTTTCAATTTCACGTGTACATAAATCCGATATTTCAGAAAAATTTCCGTCATTCAGGGCTTTATAAGCTCTGTCTAGATTACTGAAATAGCAAAATGAAGAAAACATGTATGTCAAAGTTCGGTTGTTGGAGGAATATTTACCTATCTGGATGTGCTGTTTGAATTTCATTTATGAACGATGTACTTAAAGCTGGATCATCTTCAAATTCATTTAGAGATGTGTGAACAAAGTCTCTTGATAATTCAGCAGTATTCTAAAGTTAAGAAAATTCAAAATTTTATACATTTCCTTTTGAGAAATACTTACGGGTGATAAATTGCTAATATATTCTTTTGCTAACTCTGTTAGTATTTTATCAGCTGACATTACGTAGACTGGTTGAAAATTGTCCAAAAAACATACAGTCGAATAATCTGAATAAGTTTAAAATTATTGATAAAGGATATTCTTTTTGAGAAAAATAATCTACGTACCTTCTAATGCTAATTCATTATTTCCAATTGTTTCAGCAGCTCGAGCACGTCTTTGTATACATTTCACATATTTTGGATTTAATTCGATTGCTCGAGAGCAATCTTCAATCACTTTCTCCATATCTTGCTAAAAAGCAAAGCAACTTTTGATGTTGTTAATACACAAACAGTTCTTTAAATCTCATTCACTTACAAGTGACTCATAGGCAGCAGCTCGATTCTGATAAAACTGTGATAATTGTTCATCATGGTCAGCTGGACATGCATCGATCGCCTCTAGGCAGAAGAGGAATAGAGATAAAAATAGCTCTTATAAAAGCAATAATTATTTATACTTGTGTAATACGCAATAGCTTCTACAAATTTTTTATCTCGATATTTGGCGTTGCCCTCATTTTTCAGCTCAATTGACTCGTCTAATTTGCTCTTCTATAGAAGAAAAGAAACATAATTAATTTAAATGAATAACCCCAAAAATATCACATTCATGATACTTTTATATTTTCGTTTGATTTTAATATCGTATGACCGTCATCACTACCAATCGTTGTTGTAGTCGTTTTTGCAGTTGTCCGTTCATTTGTATCCGCTTTATTTTGTTGTTTTGGTTTTTGCTGTTGTTTATAAATCAGATAAGCTCCAAAACAGACGGCTGTTGAGATACCGATAACCAAGGCATATTTTACAATCTTTTCTCCAAGATCCGATGCATCACTTTCTTTCACAGTACGAATTAACTTTGATGCCATAGAGCAAATGAATTCTTTTCAAATGTAAGTGGATTCAAAGCAGAACACAATCAAAACCTTCAATAACCGTGATAAAAAATTTTTTGCTTAAGCGTGTACGAATATTATTTCACACTCGTATATCACCTAAACAATTTGAAAAATACGGCTGGTGTGATAAATAGAGGTACATTTTGCGCGCACGTATGAATGTTCTCGCTACAGCAAGTTAATCGTCAATTTTCCCGTTACATTAACTTCTTTTATTCGAAAGTGAGTGAGGGTCCAATGAATACTATTAAGCACTGTTGAATTGCACTATTGGTACATAATAAACGTAGGAAAAAACGCTTGAAAGATGTCGCGCCCTTTCTCTAATCACGTTTTTGACGAAAATGTTTGGCCAAAATTTTCGTCATTGCACATATAACAATCAAGGTTTTTCGTTTTTTCTCGTTTAGATTCCATCTGAACGAAATGGCTACGGCTGTCATAAATGAAAACAGAATGTAAAAAAATGTTTTTTGTGAAAAGATCCTGAGTGAATTAGAAAAATTCCAAATAACCGACAAGAGAAAAGTGCTTAAACGACGAGATTGCAACTTAAAAGTGTTTTCTGGAAAAAGCCTATAAAAATATCCCAAAATAAAATTTTTCTTTTATCAATATAAGTTTTAGATACAATTCAATGTGCTCTATTCGATGAGTGCATTAAATAAAAATTTCAGTTATCGTAGAATTTTTTATAAAAATGCTCCCAAGATCTATGTACTCCAAATCCAGGTTTTCGAAAATTCCATTATGAAAGTCAAAATTAAAGAAAACTGATATTACCACTGGATTCGGCATGGTGGACAACCTCTAGGCTCTGACTTTTAAGTTGATTTGTTCAATTTTGTACCCAGTGGAATGTTTTTTCTCTTATTGGAATTCCTTTAATTCGGTAAAGATCTTATATTTCTGTTCCCAAGATCTTGACTTCTTGGTGTTTTCTCTAAGATCTTACCCAGGGTCTTGGGTGCAGGAAGTTCCACTAGAGTATATATATAAAAAAAAAGATGCACATTTTTTTTAATATAAAGCCTTTTCCTGAATTTTTCTGAAAGAGGAGGAACAAGAGCGAAAGATGATAAAAGGTGAAATTTCTGGAAAAGACAGGAAACGGTTTCTGCAAGAAAATGGTCCAGTATGATTTTGAGCGCAAATCGTCTAGAATTATTGGGGGTGCTTCGTACTTCACTTGAGAACCTGTTTAAAGTTCCAAAATTTCTTCTGGAAAACTTCGAATAGAAAATTCTTACAATTTTTCATTACTGTCTTGAACAACGGCATCCGTCATCTATTTCAAACTTTTCTCATAAAATTTTTTCTTCGTCACCGGAACTTACATGTTACAATGTTTGACATTACAAATGTTGAACTTAGATATTGGTTTTTCGTATTTGCAAGAGTGTGGTGTGGGCGTCTGTGACTGAAAAAATCCTTTACACGTTACAAATGACTTTTTTCTGTCAGGAATATAGCAGGGTGGCATTAGCATCCTTTTCTGAAAATACGATCCTAAATTGTTTTTAGAGATTTTCCAGAGCAACCCAAAGGATTTTTGGAAAACCTTTTTCGTGAATATTTTTAAAGTTACACGGACTAAATGCGGTTTCTGAAGATGACCAACAATATTTTTCTTGAAGCCTTTAAAGGATCTGACAAGAAGTTAATCTACATTAAGACAATAGATTTTGCAAGAAAATATGGGAAAACAGGAATCCTGTCATAGGAAAAAAATTATCCTGTTATAGGCCCCATCCTAGTGCATGTACTAAAGCTTGAGTACTCATGAGTGAGTAATGAGCATTGTGGGTACGAGTGGGAGTACGCATGTCTGAATATTGTTGAGTACTCACATAACTTTTGGCTCACATACTTTGTTCACCTGGTATTTTCATATAGAGGAGGGATTTCAGGCAGCCAGAGTTGGAATACAAGTCTATTTATAGACGAGTCTATCTGTGACTGTATATAGAGCGACCAGCGAGAAAAAAATAATATAATATTTCTTTACTAAATTCTACGTTCCTTATACAGTTTCATTTTAGAAAATAAAATGGTGAATGAATATTTTTTGAGTACTCACTGAGTAAAAATACTCAAAAATTGTTAGTAGAACTCATATGAGTACTCACGAACGAATTATGAGTAAAATTGTACTCATAGTATGAGTACTTCCCCTAGGGTAGTGCTAACTGCTTAGCGATAGGTGCCGCAAGTCCCTGGATGTATAGAACGTATTCACCATTTTTCTTTTTGTGTTTAATTCAGTTTATATGGACTTTTTTGTAAGAGTAACAAGTGGATGGTCCGAAGCATCTCGTGGAGCAAACTAAAATCGTACAGGTCGGTTATATCATACTTTACTCTATTTATACTGACAAAAACTCTGTTAAACATGCATGTGCGGCTGCAGACGTACAGACTACTACTCTTCCCAGATGAAGCATACGACCATTCACCTTTTTAACTTTACACTACAGATGCATCGTCTCAGAATGCATATAAAACGATTTAGTCCTTCATGCTTAGTAGTGTATTAAAAAGCAATTGTTCTGCGCACAACTTACAAAGAAGACTAAGTAAGCGTTAGAGTTTCCAATACATAGAATCAACAAGAAACTATTTATCTAAACGATCCAGCGATGAGACTGCAAATGATGTTTTACGAATGTTGCACAAACACATGGTCTCAGCGAATAATCTTCTGTGAATATGATCCATTGTATTTTAGTTCAAAATCATCAAGATGGATCTGTAAAAAACGCCAGAAGAAACGTCCTAGACATGGGAAACATGTTGTCGAAATAGTACTATTTTTGACAGAGTTGACTCACTATTTCGAAAATTTTCAAAGGAACGATAAGATTAATTCTAAGTCAAACATATCAATGTAAAAATTAAATAAAATTCTGCCTCATTTAAGCTTAGAATGAACCCAGGACGCTGAAAACGGTGTAATTTATTGTCTATTAAAGGTCTATCAATAGCCCACAAACTGTCTTAAATGACATTTTTTTATCTAGTTAACACCGTTTTTTGACCATTTTTCAGCATTATAGCAAGGAACATATTAATGTCTAAAAGTGGCATTTTTCATAATTAAAAGCCTGTTGAAACCCTGCTGTTAGCCATTTCGGTAGCAGACCTGGAAAGCTTAAGGTTTCAAACCACTTTTACAAGTAAAGTGCCGACAATTCAAAAAGATAGCATGATTGTTTTTCATTTTTTTAACATGGTTGGACAGAACTCATCGAGTTATCTAGAAAAAGCCAATTTAAGATTTTTCAACGTCATTTTTGGATGAAACAATTTAACTACAGGTCGCACTGTGCATCTTGCAAAACTATTTAGTTGTTTTAGTTGAACGATATAATACTATTTTTGCTTGATATTGATTTGGTGAATAAATTGAAATTTGATGATGTAAATTGGCTTTTTCTAGATAACTCGATGAGTTCTGTCCAACCATGTTAAAAAAATGAAAAACAATCATGCTATCTTTTTGAATTGTCTGCACTTTACTTGTGAAAATTTCAGAAGAAGCATTGCTTGGAAAATATACATTTGCCGAGAATTTGATTTTCTAAAAATGAATTCGCATTCACTGAATTTTTCACTGATTTTTGTGAAAAACTGGTTTTTCGCCTGTTACTAGCAAAAATCAAAATCCTTATATCTCGATCAAATCTCATGCTGACTCAAGGAAATTTTCAGGAAATGCGCAGGACAGCTCATAAAGCATAATCGAAGACGAAAAAGGTGAATTTCAGCCGGGCATTGGTTTAAGGTTTTCCAGAAACCCTCTGAAAAATCTCAAAGCATCAGTGTTCTGCTGGATCACTTTTTCGACGTGATCAACAATATATGGTATCTTTTAAGTTTTGAATTGGTTTTTTCAAAATTTTATTTTTGTATGATGAGTTGCTCAAAATCTGAGTTCAGCACGTTAAAGAGCATCGAATTCTGAACAAGAATCATATCGTTAAAAGAACTTCAAATTTAATGCTTAGTCAGAAATCAGGAATTACTTTTCTGGCCTTTTCCCACAAAACCCTACTTTCGTTTCCCTGTTCTGACGTTTTCAGAAAAACCCGAGCCGTTCAGTCAAAAAACGTTGTTTTTATATGAATTTTTTTTGTTTGGAAGCTGACACACTCAGCTATTGACTAACAGACTTATTATAGTGACACAAAATTTAGTTTCCGCTCAGTTACGGCGAAAACATAACAAAAGTGGATTTGGGGGTGTTTTGGAAAATCCGGATCTACAACCTGGAGTTTCGCTTTAACGGAAAAATGTCTTAGCCCATCGGAAGGAGCTCACTTTAATGCACTAGAAAATATATTTTTTTAAAACACGAGATTGAATTTCAATACGAAAAAAAATTCGAAACACTTTTTCATTTTGAGCTTGAAAGTTGATGATTTTCTTTGCGGTTTATATTTGTTTAAACAGTTGAGTCATTCTGTACTTTGCAGAAACCGCTCATATATGTTGTTGTAGAGAATTCAAAGGGCTACCTTTTTGCAAAAGAATTAGTCCGATCGAATCAAAACTAACCGAGCTAGAACATAAACAAAATAGTCCGTTTTATTCTGCGCCACCCGTTAGTTAGAAAATAAGAGAGAAGTCGCAAGCGATCGTTATCTGACCTTGATGGTGACCTGAACTAGTGAGAGAAAACATAAACAATGTAAGTCTATAGTCAGTATGAAGACATGTTGCATACCGAAATAGTAAAGAATAATTCAGTTCGCCACACAAATGCGAATTTTCCATCATCTCAGAAGAAGGGCCCATTTTTTCTGATGCATTCGTTATGTTTTAGAAAATATTTTGATTTTAAAATAAATCACTTTTTCCAGGAAATATGAAAATTTTCATGGCTTTCTAAATTATATATACTGTAATCTATGATTGTAGGATGCTGAGGAAAAAAACGCGTATCATTCGAGATTATTAGCATGTAGATACAGGGTTGATAAAATGAAATCTTCCTAGTGTATTAGCACACTATAACTGTGTGTTTTGCCTATGAGAAACAAAGAGTAGTATAATATATTATACAATAATCTTTTGTTTGTTATTCATTGTCACCATTTTGTATATATATCATAGAGAAGATATCACAAAAAAGCCAGACTAAGTTGAGAAGAAGAAAGCATTGATATGATATGTGTGTTACACATCATATGTGATCATACAATAAGGATATTAAAGACGGGTCCAGGTAATTATATTCATTTCTCAGCTGTTCGCCATTACACTTCACAGAAAAACCTTTTATCTTCTTTTTTTTCATGCACACATTTTACATTTTTCACAATGTACATCGTGGTTTTCACTCACGAGCGAAAAATTTGTAGACTAAATAACAATCTGTTTTTTTGTTGTTTTTTTTTGCCTATTTATTTTTCAAATAAAGTTTTTTTACAACGTACGTTAATAAAAAAAAAAAAGTATAAAGGTAGAATGTATACATTATGTCAAGATATATCGTTCGAGCGGATCGAAGAGAAAAAAAGAACGAAAGGGAGAAAAGTAAAGTTTTTTCGTTTTTTTATTATTACATTAAAATATTTTCTATTTGATTACATGTGTCCTTCACTTAGAATACGCATACAGGTTGTCTTTCTTGTTGCCACTTGTTTTTTTTCTTGTATTTTTCGAAAAATATAACACATTCACAATCGTGATCGACTGGTAAATTGAGTGCGTTGTATACACAGATATACTATATATCTGTTTGTTTGTGTACAGATAGTGGTTGATGAAGACTGTGCTGAGGCAAGAAAAAGAGAAAGAAAAATGAGGAAAAAATTTTCTCGGGTTTTTTTTTTTTTTTTTTTTATTAGGAAAAAATCTGTTGTAACACACTATAGACAGAAACACAAGAAAAAAAAAGCTTCAGTTATCAATACGCAAATTTTATTTTCTTCTTTTTCTGGATAAATTTTTATAATATTATTGAAATATATAGTTTAAAGTTTTAAACGTACTATTATTTAATAAAACACAAGACATGTCTCTTGAAGAGCAACATGGTATCGACCAATCACAGGTAAGATGAATTATAGTAATTAAAATAATCTTGTCCTATCATGCGGATGGTAGATTGTCCTAACAATGACGGATGGTAGATCTAAGAAGTTACATGATAATAAAAAGAAGTAGACTTTATGTTTATACCTCACATCGATCAGTAGTCTCGACTATCTTTTTAATTTAACAAAGCTTGTAATTCAGCTCAGATAATATTGAAAATAGAAATTTTTCTAAAACATGTCATTAGTTGAACTAATTTTCTGTTTTTTTCCTATTCCTATTTCATAGTTTTATTTTTGATTTTGATTTTTCTATTTTAGTCGCATATGATAGACAGTGATAAAGTTACCTATTCTGATCGTGATCGTAAACCACACTTCAATCCGAGAAATTATATTCCATCAGCATTGAAAACACCTGATAAAAATGTAAGTTTTATATTAAATATTCGTCATATTAAAACAATTGTAATTCTCAGTGCTTATTTTGAGAAGAAATCATTAGATGTCTCAATACATAGACTAAAGAGAGTACAATTTTATAGTATTTGTCATTCTAACTGCTGTTCCATTTGCAAGATAATTTGACTTTATATGAACATATGCAATAAGTCACATATGAAAATTTTTAATTTTAGTTGTCAAAACTCTTTTATATCTGATATTATCGCTCTGTATTATTGCTGTACATCAAAATATTTGATACAGTTCTCAGACTAAGAATAGTTGAGAAAAATCTATTTTACTATATAAGTTTCATTTTCTTAATGTCGATTATAAATGAACTTCAATCATAGTAGGAAACAGTTATCTAAGGAATCTGACACTGCTCGTCTTTAGAGATTTTGTCTGAATTTGAAAAAATCTACTCAAAGATTTAGATAAAAATCTTCAGAAAATGATTTTTTAACCCTTCTGAAACCAAATGATCATTATTCACAATGAAAAATGTTTTATTCATCAAGATGAACACAATCGCTCATCAAAAGTCAAATAATGGCTCGTGCATTCGATAGGGGTAGAATAATCTTTTGAAAACTTTCCTGTTTTTTCAATGAAAATTTCATCAATTTTGGACGACATCAACTTCTCATCTTGATGATATCTAAAGATATTGACTCTTAACTCTTTTTTTTGTTTAGCAACCAATGACTAGTGTAGTAGATACCAATATTTATTCAATAAAAAAGACGGCAATGACTATATTATGTCTTCTTATTATTATAATGACAAATTCTGTACAATTAAAAGTTGTTACGAAACTTGGAAGTGGAGTTCATCCATTTTATGGTACACAAGTGACTCTTGGTGTTATATCTATTTTAATGTGTGTATTTATAGGTATGTACATATTTCGTTTTAATTTAATATTTTAAGAATTTTTCACACGATCACTTGCGGTCTCATTTCATGAATCATTAATACGTTACGGTTTATAATCTTTAGTTTATAATTAATTTCAAATAAAAGTTATATATATATATATCAACAATATTCATACAATTTATTTTATCAGTATTCTAAGTATTATGAATGCTGAACAAAAATATACTGAAAAAAGATTTACACATTATATTTTTTATCAAGATAATCTTCCATAGATTCTACTATCTTCTCTTCTACTCAAACATTTTTGTGAAACAGGTTTACTTTTCATAACTTTATTCTATGTTATAATAATTTGTATACTATCATCATATGTTTATTATTCATAATAAATCATGTCAGATATTAATCCTTTATCTTATTTTTTTTTTTTGGTCTTCTTTAGTTTTCTATATTATATTCTTTGTTTTATTCTATCTCCTATAATACCATAAAAGTATTATCTGTATATAAGCTAGTGCGTATTATAACACTCGTGATCCTTTCCATCCTCCCCTATTTTAGGATTGATTCAATTGTATTTGAGATTATTCACTAACTATGAAACAACATCAAATGCCATTGAAATACAAACGCAACGAGAACATATTCTCGTAAATATTCTACCATTGGTATTATTTATTATATTATTCATATTTAATATTATATTTTTTGGATTCACAATCATATTATGATGATGATTTTCTGTTTATATATTATATCGTGCGTAACAAAGAAATCAACAATTCACCAATTCATTTCATTCCATTTTGTAGAGAGTCGTTTTTGTAAATCGTTTTAGTTGTTTTAATTATGAAAAGTCTTCAAAACATTTCAAATATCAGATTAATAATAAAATGTGACCACTTTATTATTGTCCATGTTGATTTAAACGATATCTTCAATCGTCGTATATACTAATCAAATAGAAATCCTTTATCTTGTTCACATCATGTAAACTCATCTAATTATCATTAAAATTATTAATGTATATTGTATTGTCGTTTAGTTAATCTGTATATATTATGTGTATTTCTCATTCTTCTTCTTTTGTTTTAAAAATACACATAATTATTGTCTAATAATATAAATGATATAAGTAATGATAGTAAGAAAAAAGAAACATTAGTGGAGTATTCAACAAAATCTCATTGATGAATCGAGGGCGTTTGTCTAATATACCCATATAGTCAAAATTTAAACAATCTAATTTTATGAATTTTAAAAAAGTTGAAAGAAAGACATAATTTCTAATTGATTATTTATATATTCCATTTTGTTATCCTTCCATTTTGGGTGTAATTGTTAATTTATTAATTATTCATTTCATAATTGTTTTTTTTCGTGTAATAATTTTCATGTTTTTGTATATGTCTATGTGTATAAATTATTGTGTTTCTATGATTAAAAAACATTTTCTTCTATTTACCTTCTAGGAATAGTTTTAATGTATTCGATGCGGTGAGTCAAAAAGGATATATCCTATTTTACTGTCTAAAATATTCATTCATACTATTTTATTATTCTAGAGTTGACTTCAATGATAAGTACAAACAACGCAAACTGGATTATATTGACAATTGTATTATGATATTACTTTTTATATTAGCTATATTTAATATTTTCATATGTGCTTGCAGTTAGTAGTAATCATACAGTTGATTTTTATACGCAAGCGAGCTAGAGAAAAAATCGATTGCTGCAAAAAACAATATTTATCTTATTTTTTTATATGTCGAACAAGAGAAAAGATACACTCTTTTCAATAGGAAAATATGTTTAGTAATTTTACACATACACACACACATACACATGCATATATATCTTTCATATTATAACTAGATTGTAGTTGTTTGTTTCATTTTCAATTCATTTTCTACAATATTGAAGATTGTCTCAATTACAGGTCTTTGATTACTTAGTAATATAAGTATTTTCGAAAAATATATTTGTCATTAAGTGTGTACGGTAGAGTTTAGATAGCACAATTACTATGTTGCGTGTTTTGTCCATGTCTATGTTCTTTTTCCCTCTGAAATTTATTTTGTATCGTTAAGGGAACACTTTTAGTTGTTGTTTTTTTCTTTTTCTAATTGTTTTAAAAAAATTTGTGCATTTTTGGGATAAAATGTTGAAATCACCTGCATTATCATGACATAATTTTTGTCCATTAGTTAGCTAAATTTTGGTAAACGATTGTAAAACTTGATCTGATACATTTTATGACTCAATCATTAAAGAAATCAATCGTTCTCGTCATTAGACTTTGATGAACATTATGTAGCAACGGTGTGGAGAAAAGTAATAAGTCTCATGGATTCTCTCTTGATACTGAATAACACAAACTGAGCAAATCGATGTACCTGAATCACATAAAAGTAGAATTGGACGATTTGGTTCTGTCATTCTATCATCATCCAAAAAATTCCTTAAAAAATGAAGTTATACGTACAACATTGAAATAAACTTTTTGTAGTTATGGTGGTAAGCACCTCTTTCTTGATTATGAATAGACCAACAGTTTTACCTTCGTATCTGTGAATAGTTCGATTTTATTTATCAGTTCTAAAAACAGATGAAGCCATAACTTTTATATATTTGTTTTATTAAAAACAAAAGACTAGAAATCTATATAATCGAAAGAAAACAGCAGTTCTTATATACTGATTGAATTATGGACTCAATTTTAAATGTGTCTGTAGAATGTATATCATCGTCTAAATTGATTGTAAGAGGAATAAAAGACAGCATTAACAAAAAAGAAATATTGTACAAAGTCTTCTCTAACTGGATGATAAAATTTGTGCTTCCAAGGAGACAGAAATTATTAATGAAGGAAATTATGTTAGAAGAAGAAAACTATTTGACATTGATGTACGAAAAGTGCCGTGTGCATTTTGAGTGGACTAACGAAATTATTAAATATACGAAAGTAATTTCATGCATTAAAAAAGAGAAAATTAACTGTATTATTTATCGCTGTTATCATTGTTCAAGTAAATACAATAATAATTTATTCTTAAATATTTAATTCTTCCCAGTATTTTAGCATTTTTATCAATAAAAACTTTTTCATTTTCATTGATTAGGTTTCAACTTGGCGATCGGATCAATTCCGAGAAAAAGAATATGCATCTTAATGTGTTTTTTCTCTCCGAACTGGTCCGTTATCTTAATAAACTTTTGCACGCAATTTTTCAATTTCTACCACTTGCATCCATAATATTTTTAATGTCAACTGATTCCAGTTGATCAATAACATATCGGATATGACGAATACATATGAACTTAAGAAAGCGAAGGTGACCATTCGGCAAACATGTATAACTGTTTCGAAACAACAAACTGATTACAGCAAAATATAAGTACGTATAAAGAGAAAGAAGTCCCTCACTTGAACGTGATTATCATTTAAAAATCAAACTACTACTTTTTTCATATAGCTCAACTGTTATTGCTATTCTTCTTGTGGCGGCCAAAACTTAATAATGTCCCCATCTTGTATTTTATCGACCACACTGTCTTGTTTCATGGTCACATGAATGGGAAAATCCCTAGATCATAATGAAACTAGAGTCATTTCTAAAACTACAATTAATCACAAAGCTGAACATAGCGAACTGTGTAACGCCCCAACAGCATACTTTATCAGGACACTAATTAAATATGTAACTTTCTCCAAAATCTATCACAACATCGGTCTACCATTTCTTTCTCGTTCAATATACTGAGTTTAGTTCAGTTTTCATTTTTTTCAAAGCTTATCTGTTTGAAACGCACTATAACATGTGGTTCTCTGCCTCATACGCTACTATAGCCTTTAGCATATTTCTCCAGGTGAAGCGATGAATGACGAAAATGAACGGCATCAAAGCGGTTCAGTTATGAGCAGCTAATAGTCGTTGATTCGACTATATGTCTATGATAGTCTAGATGATATCTATTACAATTTCAAAAAAGGCTTGGTCTTTCTTTTGCGTTTTAAACGCAACTTTCGGTCTAAATTCTGAATGATAGTAAGAAATCAGCAACACTCTGCATTCAAAATCATTTCTGCCTCCACTAGCACACAATAACCTTGTTTAGCGCCTACATCATGTAGACCTTCATGAGAAGAGGAGAAAAATGCGTTGTATTGGAAGATTTTGTCTTGTGGTTCAATAATATTCTAAACTACCTACAATATTCTAGATCACCTGGAGGAAAAAATACCTACATGTTCTCGTTTTGCAAGACAAAACTAGTTATTGAAGCGAAAAGTATTCTGATAATTTCAAAGTTGTTTAGATCGTATCTTATAGATGTGAGCGTCTAGTACTTTAAAATAGTAAATGCTTATAGCTGTTATGACGCTTGCTGTATTGCTCGTCAGTTGTTAAATTTTTTCTTGTTCATAGAAATACAGTACTCTGCTCAATTTCAAATTTATGCGAGTAGCTTTCTTTTGCATATGACTTCGTGTTCTGCAGACTGTTAAAAAAAGGTTCTCTCATTTCTAGTTGCCAATTTGTTCTTCGAGAGAATTTTCACCAGACTCGCTTACTAGACTTTAAGACGGTATCCTTCTATTTTTAGGGTATTCTCTTTACTCTAACATCTAGAGAGAAATCATTTGTATTCGTAGTGAATGTGTTTTTACTTGACATTAGTTAAAATCTTTGCTAGTGTTTAGAAGAACCATATTTTGCTGAAATTTAGAAAGATTTTGTTGTATTATTTCTTATGTCTGAACATGAAATGGCGCTAGCTCATCTGTTACAGAAATATGAGCAGAAGTCAGAATGAAAGATTACTTAACTCTAGTGAATGTACTTAAGTGTGAGTACTCAGATGTATACTCATGCTGAAAAATGTGAGGAGTACACATGAGTACTCAAAAATTGTTAGTAGAACTCATATCAGTACTCATGAACGAATTAAGAGTAAAGTTGTACTCACAGTATGGTTACTTCCACTAGGGAAGTCTATAGGAAATACAAAATTCTATGATAAAATCGTCACTTTTTTTACAGTGACAACGTGGCATTTTTTGTTTTTGTCATTATTTGATAGCTTATCCAATAGATGTTCGAAATGGGACAATGTTTTCCAATATGAGATGTAGTTGAGATTTTTTTTCGTTGGATGTGTATAAAACTCGGTTTTCTACTATTCTAAATGAGGAAGGGCTCGATGTTATTTCCACTGTATCTCACGCACATAGGTTAGGTGTACTAAACACAATTTTAAAAATGTCAACTACCAACAAAAGAGTATTGATAGCTCTGCAGTCACAAACTAAGTCCGCACAACAGTTATTCACGTGTGAAAAACATAGTTTCACAAACGAGTTCGAAGCAGGAATAGAGAAAATAAATGATGCTAGTTTTTTCATTTTGGGTGTTAATCACCTCGCCTGTGAATAAAAATAAGTGTAAAGCAGAGATACGAAAGTCCAAATTCTGACTTGAACCATTTGCTGATAGACTTGAACCTGAAAATAGTCGTTCTCTGTCATGCATTGCCTGATGTATATTCACTTTTCGAATACCCTTATCCAAACATGATAAAAATGAGAAAGATGTGATTAATTTGATTTCTGTTGCCAAAACAATTTCTAATATAGGCATGTACACGTACATCGTTCGACGATAGATAGTCGATATCGTATTTACATGAAGAATAGTCTTCAAAAGCATACTCAATTCACAGTGTTGTATGCGCAATAACTGTATCATCTAGCTTTATAAATGCATCGGCGATAAAATCATTTATCGCCGATGCATGAGTTTTTATCAGATTTTTTGTTACTACAAAACTTCACTAGCTTGTTCGGCTTAAGTTCTCTACAGAATCTCTGTCCTTATCTTCATTTTATCGCTTAATAGTCGTATTTAATGTATTTCTTTATCTAATCTAATAGTACACTTTCAACTTAATCATTCTATTTAGTGAAAAGTCATATTATCTCTCCAAAGGTTTTTGCTATTTTTCAATTCGTCAGGATCGTTTGAAACAAACATAGTTAACACTATTCGAATAATAGAAGAAAGAAAATGCTAATTCCAAAAAGCTTCGCTAAAAGTTTTTGTCTCAAAATTGCTTGAACATAATGTATAGCTTTGTTTTGCATCTCCATATTGGTACTTTTAACATAATACAGACCGGAAATAGTTTCAAATTTGTACTGTAGAAAATCGAGTCATAAAATCGAAGCTATTTTCCTGCATGTATGAAATCGTTAAGAGAAGCTTCGCCACAGTACCAACTATGCTGTCCGGAGGAAAATTTTATTTTATTTTTATTTATGTCTCATTCGAAAGAGCATAGAAAATACCCACTAACCCCAATAACGCTTTCTGAAAGTGCTTCTTTAAAAAGCTAGAGGCCAGATACTCTGTTGAGGGGCACTCTTATTACCCAAAAAACGTAAAATTTTCACAAATTTTCGTATTTTCCGATTTTCTGAAAAACTATCAGACTCCTATGATTCGTTCACGGCTCATTTGAAAGAAATGTTTCCTCTATAAGATCATATAAAAAATTGAATTTGCATTTTTCTCAATACTTTTCAAATACAGGCTATGCATGTTACGGTCCCAAACTAAATCTTACTTCATTTTTTAGAGTAGGCAATTCTACATCGCTTTATATATAAAAATAGAAAATTTTAAAACACTGTGATGTACGATAAATCAAATATTGCAGACAGGCATAGGTTTCATCATTTTCTTAATGATAGAAAATGGGTATTATTTATGGGAAAAGACATTTTCCTACTTTTCACAAATCAACCTTTTTAGTTTTGTGCTTAAAAACTACACATGACTCAATGCTAGTTATTTATGTCAAAACTTGATATAAATTATTTTCTTCTAACCATCTAAAAATCATATATGAATCCACCCACGGTGTCTTTCACGAACTTGTCTAACTTTCTTTTTAACTAAATCTACTTTAAACGGTACCTAAATCGGTCTAGCATAGGCTTTCTTAAGTACTAGAAAATGCTGCTTTTTCACTTTTAAAATTTGTTTTTAATTTTCTCAGATATCTGAAGATATTCCAACTTACGGAAATGCTTCTTCAGTATGTAAAACTTTGAAAAATCGTTTTTTAGTTTTTCGAAAATGAATCATCTTTCGTTTCGTTCTTCTGACATAAAGTCAAGTCTGAACGTTAGCGTATAGCTACATTTGATAGTAGCGTATAGTAACATTTGATAGAACCACTAGAAACGATATGTACAACTTTAGGTGACTGATAGCAAAAATGAATTTTAACGAAAACAAATTTTTTAGTGATGTATCAAAGTAGATCGATATGTCGTCATGTATCGCAATACCATTAACTTTTATTGTAATAGTTAATAACTTATCGATAAATCACAGTACGCTTTTAATTAGTTAAAAGTCAGACAATAGACTACTAATGTAATAAGTGAACTTTCTTGAGATTGAACAAGCTGATAAACCAATGATACACGTTCAATTACTGAGTACGGAGTATTGTAGTCTCTTTGTTCACAAATATATAAACTAATTATATTAAACTAATTATTCTCCCTGTTCTATCACAAATAAAAAGCAAGAATGAACAGATCGATATAGAAAAGTTGCATTACCATCACAAAACATATTCTACATGAGAAAATATTAATAAAACAATAGAAACTGAGAAATGTTTCAGAAAATAAATTTTATCTATACAACATGGAAGAAACTTTATACAGAACATAATTACCTGAAGTAAAAAACAATGAAAACAAATATTTTAACCAATATCATCGTTTTCATCTTCTACAGTTGACGGCATGGATACGAGAGATGTTGTTATTTTCGTTTGAGATAGCCATTCTTACCGTTTAACTATATTCGTGTTAATAATTCTTTGACTTTTTTATTGCTCATTCGAACTACTTGACGAATGAGTATGATACTTTTGGTCATTTTCAGTATTTTGGTTCACCGAGTTTTCATTTGTTTTTGATTGTGCTTTTGTATTAGTTTGTAATGTGTGACTATTATGTACATGGAATGTTTGGTCGGGAGCGACGGTCGCTGCTGTCGTTGTTGTGTCACGTACTTCATAAAATGATAGTATTGGATCAGCGGCATTATCAAGACCGGCCATTGTTATCAATTGACCCAGTCTAAATAATTAAATCATTATCGTCTTACTTTTATTTTCTCGCCTCGATCTGAGCTAAACACATTGCATGAAAATAGTATTTTGTCATTTCTTACCGTTTTGATCTTAAAAAGTCTAAAAACTTTTGAAATCGTTGAAATGTATTTTCAACAACTTCACAAAAATGATCTTGTTGCCGTTGTGCATCGTCATTTTTTGTTAAAATCTGAACAAATAAGTAATGAATATGTTAGCCATATGTCGTTAACCACGAGTGTTTCAAATTTACCTTTTGAAGCTGTTCTTCAAGTTGTCGTCTTGCTTGGCGTTCTTCTTTCAACTTATCTTCCAACTGTTGAATTCTTATCTGAAAGTAAACGAAAGAAGTTCTAAACTATAGCACTGAATAGAAAGGATAGATTATTTACATTGGGATGGTCCCGATTTGGTAGTCGAGGTGTATGATGGTAATTATGTTCTCCACCTGCATAAATCGATTCGTCTGATGAATGAAATGATTTTGCATTCGTTCTTGGTGGATAGCCTCTTAAAAATAACACTAACATATAGCAAAAATCATAGTGTGACACACGTTTATTCTTACGGTAAGCGACTTGCTCTTGCAGCTGATCGCCATGGTATACAGGCAACACGTGAATCAGTAGAAACAGAACCAGTTGATTTACTCCGTTGTATTTTTGATGGGATTAATAATTTGTGAAATTGTTGTTGTTGTGTCAGCTTCCTCGTATTTACATTATTGTCACTTGTATTTGTTCCTGGGACTCCACTAGTCGTACTTTGAGCGGATATTTTACTTCGAGGACGTTTGGGTGATTCTAATTTTGACCATTTATACTAGAAGATAAAAAAACAAATAATTTAAAAATAAACTATTGAAAACATTAAATCATTACTATTTTATACCTCACATAATCGATCATCTTCACAATTGATGAGTAATTGTTCAATAAGCTTTTCCATAATATCACGATCAACTAGACCATTATTTCGAATATCAATAATATGTATAAGACTATTATATTTGGCTGATTCAAGAAAGGCTTTTGCACCGTTCGTTGATACTGCACAGTCTTGTAGATCCAATGCTAAAAATAAAAATAATGGGATCAACGTGAATAATTTGAATCCTCGTTTATGTAATGCGTCCAATGTCATTAAACTTCTTTAATCACACAGACAAAGAAGTTGCCTGTTTTTTGTTCACGAATTATACAATTACCTTTTATCCATAAATCTTCTTTTAAAACTTCAGCTAAGTAACCTGCTCCTTTATCGCCAATGAGTGGATTGTGGTTTATTGTAACACGTCTTAATCCAGACATATGATCCAATGTTGGGTTCTGATAACGTAGACTTTCTTGCCATACACAATTCTAAAACGTATGAGATTATACAAAAATTCATTAAGAGAAAAATCAAACTTACATGGCGTCGAAAACCTTGTTGCTTAAAAAAAAGAAGAAAAGTATTTATTAAACTTTAATCACATACGATAATAAAACATCTATCAATAACTTCAAATACGGCACATTTTGGCTCTTGAGATTCTAGCAACGAAAAGTAGTGATAAATTAAAGAGCTCTCGTAATCTCCGACTAATATTAATCGAACTTAGAAAGTATAATTCTGTTTTAAAATTGAATAATTTTATGTCTTCTTATATAGTCAGCTCATGTTATAAATTACATCAAATCAGTATTATTACTAATACAAGATTGCTAGCAGTGGCTGAGTTTTGGTGTAACTAGAATTCTAATCCCCCACGAGAATCTGACGGTCTTCTAATCGAAACATATTCCTCACAAAAATGCAACTAGTTATATAGATCCTCAATTATGCTGTATGATAGATGACATTCTGAAGTTTAGAAGCACCCAGATTTAGTATACGTAATACCAGAGTTTAGCTCGCTCTTTTGAAGGAAGTCGTGTAAGTAATTGTAAGCTACTTATGAGCAACCTTTAGTCATGATTTAAGCTCAAAAAGTTCTCTAAATTTTCACCGATATTTAGAATTATATATATTATAGTGCTACTGAAATAGTGGAAACTCTCAAGATTATCTATGATACAATGTTGTGTATACAATTTATCATATAAAAGGGGATGTGTTCAACCACGCTCAATTATTAATGGTGTTTTTTTACTTCAAAAATCAAAGTAATGAACATCATCCATTTTTACGTTTTTTGATTAAGGTTGACAATCAATGATGTCAATTGTTAGAACTCAATAAATCTTTAATATATTTCATGAATAATATAAGTAGAAAAACCTAAATCTGAATTCTATTTTGACATGCAACATTATCATCAATACGTGAATAAAAAAAAGAATATATATATTTTTTTTTTTATTATTTAAATATTCACATTATTCTTTTTCTCCTTCCTTCTAGACACAACTCAAATGATACCAAACGGTAATCTTAATTGAGAAGGTGACATTAACCACGATGATATTTATGATCAATCAAGCTCTCCTATCATCAACTTCAACGTCAGATTTATTATTTACTAGTGGTCGATTACCAGCAATTTTAAGTCTATTTTTTATTCTAATATTAATTTTAATCCTTATATTTTTGATTTTATTTCAACGACGAAATAATAGTGTGTATGATGAACACGAAATTAAAAGTGAATTAGATAATGATACAATGATAGACGAACGAAAATCAATTGAACTTGATCGTGTTCGAAAATATAAATCGATACACCATACACCATCGTTTCATTTTAGTGAAAATGATACGAAAATTATTGAAGAAACGTCAGTAATAAATTAAACAAATTGTATCATACGTGCACTATTCGAAAAAAACTCATCAGATAAAATATCAATAATCATCAACGAAATCCCACTAAACTACTCTTCGAATTATCACGTTACCAACATTATCATAGGAGTAGACATTATATTTAACTATGATCCGAAGTTAAGAATGATTGATGCTATATGTTTTGTTTGAAAAATATTAAGCTTATAGACATGTTGGATATCTGTTTCATAAACCACCTTACTTAACTAGCGTGATGATCACAACAATGTCCATTTTTGCTGAGTGTAAGATAATTTAACCCGTTAGAATTATTTTAACTAGGTTTATTATACACTCTTTTATTCTGTAATAATAAATAATAGCACATCACACTTCCAGTAACAAAGATATAGGTCCCAATTAGAAGAGCCTTGCGTTCAGCAAAATTAAAAGATTTTCCACAAAATACATGCTAAAGTAAAAGATTTTATCGTTTTTTAGTACTAACTTCGCATATCTGTTCAGCAAAAAAGTCATTTTGAAGAACTTCGCAAAGAAAATACAACTAGTGTTTACAAAAGTCTTACAATTTTTCTTCTTACTTTAATTAAGTCTGCAAGAATTTGTGCTCCATGACTTGTCAATGAACACGCAGAAAAATCAACTTCACGAATTTTTGGTGATTGATTTAAATGTCGACAAAGTACTATACAAAAAAAGACATAACATCAATATCTTTTTCATAACGTACAGACCATTTTACTATACTTTCTAGTCCGTCATCACCGATTGGAGAATTTGTTAATTGAAAATGTACTATTGATTTGCATTTTGCAAGTCCCTAAATAAATAGAAAATCATTTGTAGCCTAATTATAGTATTCAACGCGCAGCAGGCATTTTTCTATAGACCAGGTGAACATGTGGTTTTTTTCAATTCAGAAACAATCCTTTTTGCTTAACACTACTTTATTACGCTTGAAATGTTATTATAAATGAAAAAAATCTAAATTCGAAAAAAAACTTTTTAGACGAAAAATTCCTGACCTTTGCCCTAAATTTTTGTCGAAAAACTTTTTATACAGAAAATGAACAACTTATACGTCATTCGATGTATTTTTATACACTGATTCTAGATATCACATTATTTTTCTATGCAAATGTTCCTAGACTGAGAAAAACGCATTTTACCTAAAAAGCAAGGACTTTTTGGAAAACCCATATCTAAGCCTAGGCGAACAGTTGTATAAAGTTACATGCACCATATATTATAACAGAACATGTTGCGGAACATTTTGCACTAATTCTGATTGAGATAACACTTTAGGAAAATTTAGAAATTACATTTGCAGTGCTTGTTCGAAACAGGGTTACCTCTGAAAAAAACATTTTCTGCTATGTCCTGGATTTAAAAAGAGAACATTTTTTACAAACCGATAGCTAAGACTGTCTAAATTCAGAAAATGTAAAGTTTTTAAACTTAAAACGACTCCACCTATTAAAAAAATGGTTTCTTCAGAGGTCGCTAGGCTCTTTTTTCCTTATACATTTTTTCCAAAAATTCAGCACTTGAAACAAAAATTTCTACACCATTAGATAGCTCGTATATCAAAGTATATATGTCACTATGTGAATCTTGAAAATGCGCACTTTCGAAGCGATTTTTCGTCAAATGTCCTCCTGGATGTCCACTGTGCAGCGATGACAATAAAGTGGTAGACAAAATTTTAAAATACTTTTTGCTTTTAATTTTTAAATCGATACTGTTTTCTCCTTTTTATAGCATTCACTTCCTCCAGCAACCCAAAACTCATTCTTATCTCCTGCTATTATAAAAAAAACAACAATCATCTTGTTTCCTAGATGAGTCGATAACAACTTGTTTCCTGAAAATACTCATAATGAGCGATCGCTGATTTTCGTCTCATATATGTTTGATTTCTCATCATCTATAATAAAGTTTAAGGATATGAATTTTTTTATCACAAAACATTTTCAGATACAAATGAGTATCGAAGAAAGATATTTCTGATCATCAAATTGTGCTAAGCATTCTTGTGCTAACATTATTCATTTTTTTCATCATTTTTCATCATTTAAAGATTATTCATTTTTAAAAGAATACTTCTGTATTTGTTGAAAGATGAATAATCTTCAGGATGCTTATCACAATTTGATGATCATTTGTAAATTCTAAAAATGTTTGATAATCAAAAGTACATTTTCTCTAAAGTTTAAACCAACGACATCGACAGAAAAAGATCATTCTTGGCACAAACTTTTCGCTCTTTTAAGGGACTTCGTTTTTCTAGGTTGTGGATCTTCTAGAGACCTGATTTTCAGCAATCTGAACGAACTTTCATACATATGACTTTTGATTGAAAAAGTTTCCATCTCCTCAGATCACCTTTTGGATTTCATCTAGCTATCACGGTTGGGAAAAATAATCAAAAGCAAAAGCTATTTTAAAATTAGTTATTTAAAATTCCCACTTTACTTACTTGTGCTATTAGAGTCAAATCTTTTCTTCGAAATGGTAAACCACTTAGATCAAGTAAAATAAGTTCAGTTGTTATCGTGAGACAATCTTTTAAACTTGAGCTAATTTTTGTTAAAAGTTCTTTTGACTGAAATATCGGTGGTCGCTTTGAAGTTGATAATGAGCGTTTCCCATTTCGTCTTTCTGCTGAAAATACGAAACGAATTTCATTTAGACACAACAATATAGAACATATATCATCATTCTACCTTCAGCTAAGGTTGTTGATGTTGTATTATAAAACTGACTCCGAAATGTGATTGAACGTAACGTTTTACAAGTGCCAATAGCACCACATAATGGATTCCAATCGTCAATACTAAAATCATATCACCGACAGAAAAATGAAGTTCATGTAGAGTCACTGGAAACTGCTTTTTCTTATTCAACACATTCGATAACCCAGATTTTCTATTTTTGGCGAGGGATACTGTCAAATGTACTGTCAAATGCAAAGAAAAATTTTGGAACTAGTGTTTTTTCCTATGAAAATTTTTTATCGCTATTTTGTTGGGAAAATAATTTTACTAAAATTTTAGCAATACATCTCGTCGAAAATAGAAAATCTTCGGGATTATCGAGTGTGCAAAATACGAAAAAGCACTTTTTTGTGACTCTGTATAAACTTCATTTTTTTCTTCACGTTGACATGGCATGTAGTACTTTTTCAGAATGCACTAAAATAAAGATAAACGTGTTTTTACCCTAAATTATCCAGTTCTAAATCGATAATTCCGTCATCAAGTTTTATTTTAACCGCTGATAAAGGTAATAAATTAAACTGGCGACATAATTCGTCGTATTTCATACCAAAATCACATGCTTTATCAGCCGTAGATTTGGATATTTGTTCACGCATTATAACGGCGCCTTATATAAACAATAAAAATTCAACTAGAATGAAAAAAAGACCAGCAGATAGTTTGTATTACTACGACACAGTTTAAACAAATAATATGTTTATGTCCTTTTGGGCGTAACCAATCGTTGTGAGAGGGAGGAATAAATAAAAAGGCTAACTGAGTCTACTGATCGAATATTCAGAAAAACAGATATGCAGACTTTTTCGTAAGGAAATAAGCGTGTTTTTTCTAGCCAGCTACCCTGAGTACTTGAACTCTATTGTGTTTTGCAGCAGCAAAAGTGAGTGGTACCGTCAGCCACTGTTGTACTATATGTGTGTTTCCAGTACGACTGGTTTTCTCTCTCAAAACTCTTGTTTCCAGCTGACAGGAGTTCACTATACGAAGCCAATCGAATCAGTCAGCGAAGTCTAGACGAAGAGTATGCTAGACGAAATATTAAACTAATTCTTATGTGGTTGCTCACAGCGATTATGATTGAACAAAAAAAACAGTCTGTTAAGAGATGAACAACGAAGCCCTACCATGTTGCTATCAAGAATCTTTTTATTCATGTAGCAACAAATTACTCAGAGAATCAAGCATAAAGTTATGCAGACACACTAAGCTTTCGAGAGATTATAAAAGTCTTTCATACTTCCTTAGCAGAAACTGTGCGTTAGATATAAACTTAGATATATAGAGGTTTTGTTTTACTTTTTCATTGGTAAACTTTCCTACCAACAACCAATTTACTTATCTTTCTTTTCATTGCATAATACATGTCAACACTCTTGTCCTATTTCAGACAAGAGTCTTGAATTTTGTAAATTCAGGCAAGATTCTTGTTAGATTAAATGATATCTAAAGACTCTTGTCGAAATCCTCAGTCTTGGTAGTTCAGACAAGAGTCATGTGGCCGATTCTTGGCAAGAATGTCAAGACTTGTGCATTCAGAATAGTACTAGCTTTTCTTATGAACCCAATATGACTCTTGCGTTTTTCGTTCTTGTAGGCTTTCTGCATGTTTATATGAAGTTGAATTAAACATTTATTATAATATATACTTTGTAACAACAAAGAAACAAGGACGACATATCTAGCTTGGGAAAAACACTTAACAAAAAATTCATAAACAAAAGAAAAATAATTGTTTGCGCAGTTTACACGCAAGTAATCAAAAAGATAAACATGTAAACGTCACAAATGGTAACATTATTGACTTCTTCTGGTTCACCGTCATCTAAAACTAAAAGTCTTGTTTAATTTAGCTAACTAAAGTCCCCATATGTATTATCATGAGATAGGAAAAGACTTACTTTCAATTAATATTCGTCCTCATCTAATTCGCATCCACCTTGCTGCTCAATTTGTTGTTGTTCACCATCATCGTTATTTTCACCAACCCTAATGTACTTGAAAGCAATTACAAAGCCCCAGTATGTAGAAAAAAATAAGGGAAAAGAATAAGCAATACTTATCTAATTCAAAGATTGATTCATACAGAAAATTAAATTATAAAACCATAAGCTAAAATGAAATCATAAAAGTACTTTTATGCTTTCATTTTAAATAGAATAAACAGAAAATATCATACCAAACAATTCTTCTTGCAGTTCTGAGAAAACATCATGATCCAATGCAAAATCAAAATCAGTATCGTCATTCTAAAAAAATCTTTGGGATATATAGTTCACATTCCGTATTGGCATGACATATTTTGCATAGGTTATCCTCGACAGGTGTAGCGAGTAATGTTTTTTCGTAATCTAAATCAGGAACGTCATCGATCATCCATTCTACGTTGTTTCTTTCACTAACAGCACATAGCCAAGCCGCTTGACGACGAGGTGCTCAAGAAAGTGAAAGATAAACGAAATGTAACATAAACAATAACAAAGAGCTATGATTTAGAACACACCAAGATCATGAAGCACATTTTCTGCAAATGTGTCTAAAACGTCATTCTCATCATTGCCTTTCATGTTCATATTTAATGTACGTAGAAGTTTATTCTAAATGAAACAAACAATTAGTGAAACCTGCTTTTTGTATTCGTGAGAATAATATATCAATAGCAACTTCTTTTTATTGTCATAGGACAAGAGTCACTCCGGGCAAAACTCCCACGGGGGTTCTGTCACGGGATCCTGCAGTAGTCAGGTGGAACTTTCAAGGGACTTCTCAGGACTCCTGAGGATTCCTGTGAAGCTTTCGAGTCCTGTGGGAGTCCAACGAAAATCCTCAGAATCCTCAAAGTCCCATGGGAGGCCTGAGAAATCCCTTGAAAGTCCCATCTGACTCCCGCAGGAGTCCCGTGGGAGTTTTGCCGGGAGTCTGGACTAGGGATTTCTCTTTTGCGTTTCTGTACACAAGACTCTTGTTTGGGGGTCCTATCATGAAAAAAGTTAAGTCAAAGTCTAGACGTAAGTGTACTGAAAAGTACTTAGACTATAACGATCATTGTCTATGCAAATTCAATTGATGAGTCACTCCTGTCAGTGTTTGTTTTAGCCAAATTCTAGTGCGTAATTTGCGAATAGTTTATAAAATGAGCACGTAAGTGCACATAACGAAGACTTAAGTTTTTTGTGATACGGTCTCCTGGTCTGAAATGGCAAGAGTTCAGACTCTTGTCTGAAATAGGACAAGGGTGTTGCCATGTGATTACTCTTTCTGTTCTGTTTAATGATGTCTGTCGAGGTAATCTGAAAGTCTTTCACAATCGAGACAAAATAATGAATAAACGTTACACTTCTAGCATAGTACATTACTGCTTGTTGTGCAATTTCGTGTTAAATAGATGAAGAAATAAATATATTATATTTCACAAAGTCGAGCCTATAAACTGTTCCATTCAAGCCGTAAATGATAATCATACCAGTTAGTTATTTTCATTTTGAAAAAGCATAGTCTTTTTATCAGATCTTCTATTACACGAATTTAAAGTTTTCCAGTCAATCTTTAACGATTAGAAATAAGATGGCTCATGCACCAAAAGGTAGTAGTGACCTGAGCAAGCCCTCATCATTGTTAACCTCTTCCAGAACACCATCATTTCTCACAACAAACACCATGAGTAATTTAAAACCGTTGGATTCATTGTCGAATCCATTACTAAAACCTAGTGCTCTATCATCGACAATACTGACTACTACATCATCGATTGGCCTGACTTCATTAATGAGCAAGAATCTTACTCTCACTTCATCAAGTACATTGAAACCGCTTTCACTCTTATCGACGACTACTCCATCTTCATCAAGTACATTGAAACCACTTTCATTCTTATCGACGACCACATCTTCGTCAAGTTTATTGAAACCGCTTTCACTCTTATCGACGATTACTCCATCTTCATCGGTTCTAACGAAAGTTGACGACAGTGCAACAACACGTAAACGAAAACTGTCAACAGAGATACAACAAAGTAGTGAAGTACCGAATTCTCTAACGATAACAACATCACAAACTTCACGCAATCTTAAATACAACGCTGAAAATATTCAACCGATTGAACAAAATTTATCCGTTAATTTACACGTAGAACTTCCACCGCCAAAGAGACCTAAGTATGACAATATTACAATGGTATCCGCGATTAATGAAGATGATGAATTTAATTGTGGGCTCAAATCAATTAAGGTTATTTTAGATTATTTTATACTAGTAAAAGGGATAGAAAGATTGATTTTATTCGGTTCATTTTAGAAAAGCTTTTTGAATGTTGTTGCCGCATCTCTTCTACGTCAACCAAATTTAAAAAACTTATCTGACCAAACCCGTCTTGAATTGATACGTTTCATTCATCTGATTGTTGAACAAGATCCAGAATTCATATTAAAAGTAAACTCAAATATAGAATCTGAAATTTTAGCTAATAAAACTATTTCTATTTAGACAGCCTTGTATACGCGTAATCAACTAAATATTCGTGTAACTGCTAATTTTTTGTTGGCCTATGCTGCCTTCACGGAAAAATGCCGTTCATATTTAATCAAATACTTCAAAACAACAGTGAATTTACCATCAGGTAACTTTTTCTCTTTGGTTTTCATACTAGATCTGTTGGAATTTCTTATTTGTTTCCAGATTGGATTGAAATAGCTGAATTATATCAGACATTTATGGATCGTCGAATTCATTTTGGTTCACTACCATCTGCTTTACGTCGTGTGATGATTATTAAATTTCCTGCGTTTGATAAATATCAGTTAGCAAAATATAATAAAGAAAAAGCTCGTTTGAAAAAAGCAAAACCAAAACAGAAAGATGAAACATCACAGCCAACAAGCGATGCACGCGGAGGGAGAGGTGCACGCGGAGGGAGAGGTACACGCGGCGGGAGAGGCTCAAATTTTCGTGGCCGTGGACGAGGGCGTGGAACAACCACTGAAGGGCGTGGTGGTTACTCTACAAGAGGTCGTTACACGAGCACATCATCTGTCGAAAGTGCTATGGATACAAGCACTGAAGACACAACTGTCCAAAAAAAATCGTTTAAAGTTACAGGTGATTTGAATGAAGAACAAGAAGAGCGTCGTATGGCATTCACATTAAAACGTTTGATTCGTCAATTACATATTAGTGAACCCGTTGAACATGTCATGTCATTATTAGGAAAACGTTATCCAGAAACATCAGAAAAATTTTATCTTTCACGATTGCCCGGTGTTTTTGATGGAGAACGAGCAGGAAAACGAATGAAATTACCCACACCTGAAACGTACGTAGAGTAAAATTATAGAAAACTATATATATCATCTTTTGTTCTGTATAGATGGGAAACTCAAATCTCATTAAAAGGTAATAAAGCTGTGGTATGGCAACAATTAATTGACAACAAAAAACTTCCCTTTATGGCTATGCTAAGAAATTTACGAAATATGATCAGAACTGGTATGTTTATTGTTTGAACTATTTGTAAAATCAAGTTTGATAAGTGCATCTTAGCTCTTTATTAACTATTGTATTGACAAACTGATGTAGATGAAGCGCCTTCATAGCTAGCTTTTCAGTCTTGTAGCTCTCATTTTCTGTAATGATGGCCTTAGTGGTTTAACACCATCTTCCTGAGTCGGTTAAATAGAGTTTCTTAATAGATTTGTTCTTTATAGCCGAACATATATGTCACGTTCTCTTTTATCCTTCATATAACAAATATCTAGTATTCATAGAATATTGCTTGAGAAATAAGTCAGAATATGCTGTATTCTTTCTAATCAACTTTGAATCATTACTGTGTATGACACTGTTTCATGCTTTTTTTCTAGGTATCTCAGAAAAACATCATCAAATAATATTAAAAAAACTCCAGGATGAAGGTGCTGTTACTTATAGCCGACAATTTCCATTTCGATTTTTCTCAGCCTATCAAATATTAGATGATATGGAGAAAGAGTTTCTTGAATGGTGTAAGTCCAAAGAAATAACAGGTGATAGCACTGTTGAAGTCAAAAGAAAATCCAGAAAAAACAAAGGGCCAAAATCAAAATCAAAATTAACACCAGCTGAGAAAGCAAAACTATTAAGTAAAAAAGAGTTTGTCTATGATTTACATATACTAAATCGTTATCGCAAAGCATTGGATTGTTCGGTAAAAATCGCCACACAACATAATGTTCAGCCAATACCTGGCAAAACATTTGTATTTGTTAATTTGAGTGATTCAATGCAACAACCATGCCAGGCAGCTAAAGGCTTGGTAGGTTAGATCTAACTTTGTTCATTCAGTCCCGTTTGGCAAGTAATATGTGTATATTTTTTCAGGGAAAACCGCGTACACGTGCTGAAATTGGCTTGTTACTTGGGTTAATGTGTAAATCCGCATGTGAACATTGTCGATTGATTGGATACACATCAGAAACAAATTATGAAGAAATTGAACAATTAAATCAACAAACAATATTGGAAAATATGTCAAAAATATTAGAAAATCCAAAATTTCAACATGGGTCATCCTCGTCATCATGTATACCAACCGAGTTTTTGAATGAAGTTGTACCTGGAAAACAATGGTTCGACACAATTATTGTTGTTTCTGATGGTATCAAATCAGACACACCGCAATCGGACAAAATTTATAAATTTTTACAAGCCTATAGATATTTAGTTAATCCCGATTTGATGTTTGTCAGTATTGATTTGAGTATAAGTGATTGTTCAGTGACGAAATCAGATCGTTTCAATAATAGAAATGATATATTTTTGAGTGGATTTTCTGATTCATTATTACAATTTATTGCTGAACGGGGTAATGATGGACAACTATTACATGTAGAAAACATCGATAATGCCTATGATTTAAACAAAACATTAACGACAACAGTAACAGCCACTAATGATAAATCTGTAGCTGTGCAAATTCAACGACCATTACCAATACCATCCTTTGTTCCAAAATGGCGTACTGTGCGTGTATTTATATCATCAACGTTCAAAGATATGCATGCTGAACGAGATTTATTAATACGTTACATTTTTCCAGAGCTACGTTATAGAGCAAAAAGTTTATTTGTTAATTTGTATGAAATTGATCTTCGTTGGGGTATTGCTGAAAGTCAAAGCAAACAATCAGTATATTTATGTTTAAATGAAGTATTACGTAGTGAATATTTTATTGGGTTAGTTGGTGAACGATACGGCTATGTACCGAGCACGTATGATGTACCCAAAAATGACAAAAATTTTGCATGGTTAAAAAACGTGCCAATCGGTTCAAGTATAACAGACTTAGAAATACAATGTGGAGCACTCAATGATAAAGTTAAAAAGCAAGCGAAAGCATTTTTTTACATTCGTGATGGTGACTATTTAAAAGATGTACCAAAACCATGGAATGAGGATTTTCAATCAGAAACGGCTGAAGCCGAACAAAAAATACAGCAGTTAAAACAGCGTATTGTAGCTAGTGGTTTAGAAACGTATAATGGTTATCCATGTCGATGGGGTGGTGTGGCAAATGATCGACCAGTTGTAACAGGTCTAGATTTCTTTGCACAACGTGTCATCAATAATCTATGGACATCATTAGAAAAAGAATATAAACCACAATATACAAAATTAGATGATGATTCTATTGAAGATTTCGCACACCTTCAATATCGACAATCGTTTGCCGACCATTTTGTTAGTCGCGAGAAGGTTATTCAACAAGCAAAACAATGCATTGCTAGAACGCCATTGGTATTGGTGAAGGGTCATCCAGGATCTGGTAGGTATAGATAAAAGTTGTATGCATTTTGAGGGAAGTGAATCGAGAAATAACTAATTAAACATTAACTGCGGTACTTGTTCATAATTTATTGTTACGATATGTCTTTTATTCTAGGTAAAAGTGCTGTGATAGCCGCAATCGTTGATGCATTATCTCGAGACGAAAAATTAAAAACCACCTTTGTATATGAACATTACGTTGGAGTGACACGAGCATCATATAATTCTGTGGCAATGCTTCGACGTTTATTATGTAAAATGGTTAATGATTGTGATGATGATATCAAATCGAAATTTAATACTGATGATATACATGCGGATGGTTACACAGAATTATGTACAAAATTCGCAAGTTTTCTACATGCACGTTCAGTCCATTATCCAACACAGCAATATGGTCCACTTGTACTTTGTTTCGATGGCATAGAACATTTGAATAATGATACTCTATCTCATACACTCAATTTTATACCAAAAGACATTAATGGAGAGGTAATGTTATCTTCACTTGTACATAGACAAAAACTTTTTCTTGGTTTTGGACTTTAGAAACTCTCCTTCTGTCATAGACAGGATGATGCATCTTTTTGTTTTATGTGTATTACTGCTTTCTAAAGATGTTTTTTCTTTGATGTTTTTAGGATATTACGATATTTATTAGTGCTACCGATGGAACCGATGTTGAAAAAGCATGTAAACAATATTCATCTTTAATTCATACGATTAATGTTACAACTTTAGAATTATTAGAACGTAGCGATATCATTCGTTCACAGTTGGATCGTTTTGGCAAAAAATTAGATGAGCAAGCATTTTCTCCTCAAATGAGATTAATAACAGGGAAACACGATTCATTTAAACCATCTTATTTAACATTAATATGTGAAGAACTCATGTTAATGGTTGATTATGAAGCAAAAATAACAGAAAAATTAAAAACCATCCCACAACGAGAAAAAGAATTCATTATAGAAATATTTATACGTTTGGAATCATTGTTTGATGAATGGTATGTGCAACTCGCATTTGGTTTGTTATATTCAGCTAGAGAAGATTTAAATGAAGATGAATTACGACAAATGATTAATATTAGTCATAGTTTAAAAAAAGAAATAACATTTCCACCTGTTATAAAACTCGTTGATGATAGTGAACAAACAACACCAGCTCAATTAGCTGATTTCTTGCACAATTGTCATCGGCTTCTGAAGCCTCAATTGTATGATGGCCCAAGAACAGTTAGTATCGCAACAGCACAAATAAAAGATATTGTTAAATCAAAATATGTACGAACAAATGAACAACAACATCATTTCTATCGAATAATGGCCTATTATTATTGGCTTGAAGCAGGTCCTTCTTGGACATCAATGAATGTTAAAGCATTTGAGCATTTACCATATTATTTATATAGTGCCAATGAACACAAATTTTATGTTGACGTGTTGACAGACTTGAATTTTTTGGCATCAAAATCGCGTGTTGGTCTCGTACAATCACTGATTGATGATTATGAGATAACTATTCAAACTCAAATACAAACATCTTTCTCTAAACTAAAAACACTCACAACACCAGCAATAAAAACAAATGATATCCGATTACAACAATATCGAACATTCGTGCAACGAAATTCTCACATACTTGCCGTTAATCCGTTATTAATACATCAACAAGCATTGAATGAATTAGAATCAAGTCATGTTTGGTTAAATATAAAACAGATTTTATTATCGAATAACAGTAAAGAAAACATACAAGCATTCGTTCGAGTTAACAAACAAGATAATATGGAACAAATGAACTTTTCCATTGAAGATTTTACCGAGCCTATCAGATGTTTAGCTATATCTCCGTCAGGTAAAGACTTCTTTTGTTCATGAGTCATTCCATGAGAGTATTCTATAGTAGCAATTCCAGGTCAGCGATAGTTGTTTGTATTTTTTTTTGGAATTGGATTGTGATTGTAAAAACGGCAGCAGAAACATTGATTTATGTTCTCTTTTAGGTTTATTACTTGCTGCTGGTTCAGCAGATTGCTTAGTTCGTTTATACAACATTTCAACGTCTCGTTTAATCAAAAGTTTCATTGGTCACGCAGCTCCAATAAGCAGTATGTACTATTTTTAAAGTTGTTGCTAAATTATCAAGATAATATATAACTTCTGTGCTTTAGGTTTATCATTTTGCGGAAACGATCATTTATGTTCAGGAAGTAACGATGGTGGTTTATCGGTTTGGGATGTAGAGAAAGGTCATCGTATGCATGTATTAACACCAAAGCATGACAAATGTGTATCTGAATTGTGTTCAAATATAAAGGGTACTCAATTTGCATCTGTTTCATTCGATTCCGTTGTTCGAATATGGAGTGTAAAAACTGGTAAAAAGGAAACAGAAATACGTTTACATCCAAAGCCTGTATCATGTGTGGCATTTCAACCAGATGGTTTCATGATTGTAACAGGATGTTGGGATAGTTTAGTTAGACAATGGAATGTTGCCACAGGACAACGACGTTCTGTTATGAGGGGACATTTAACATCGATTCGAGGTGTGTCATATTCTGCAGATTCCAGATACATTGCTTCAGTCTCGATTGATGGTGAATGTCGAATTTGGAATGCTCTTGCAGGATCACAAGTAATTTAACGGTTGAAAATCTCTTTTTGTGTGCTATTTGTTTATTTCTATTCTAGGTTGGTATAATATCTGCTCGCATCAGTTCACTCTATTTTTCACCGAATGGTTCTACACTGACATCGGCCGGTGAAGATGGACGAGTACGTGTTTGGTCATCAAATATTGGTCAGTGCCAAATGACAATAAGTGAACCAACATGGGGATCAGTATCAAGTGTTGTGATTCATCCTGATGGCGAATTAATTGTTGCCGGTTACCATTCGGGTTTTGTTCGTTTATTTAATATGCAAGGTGGAACAGTTGAATATGAAATTAATAATCATACAGCTCGTATTAACCGTTTAGCATTTTCACCGTCAGGAAAAATATTAATAACAGCATCGGGTGATCGTACATGTCGATTATATAACGTCGCAGAAATAGGTATGTGGCTAAATTGCTGGATACTTTCCTCAATCATTATACCCTGTTTATTCACTAATTTTTAGAAAAGAAAGGAAACGATTTAGCTTCAACATTACTCAAAGGTCACACTGGTGGTGTTTTAAGTTGTGCCATTGGTAAACTAAATATGGCCGCTACCGGTTCAGAAGATTCAACAATCCAATTTTATAATATTCAACGTTTTAGTGAGCGACCAGTATTAGAACCAAAACAAATTCTCACAGACCATCGTGCCCCAGTTACAGGTATATTGATTATTTACACCACAATTCTGTTAACACAAAAATTACTGTTTTTTTTTCAGGTATATCGTTCAGTACTGACGGTACTCAAATGGCTTCCTCCAGTCGTGACTGTCATGTACATATTTGGTCTGTTAGTAAATATTCATCAGAAGCCACATTAATAAATACACTTGCTCACTGTCATGCTGATTGGATTAATGATATCGCTTTAAACAATACAAACTCAATGTTAGTTACAGCTAGTAATGATAATACCTTGAAATTATGGAATACATTACCAAAATCAACAGCATCGGATGCAATGGAAACAACAACTGTACAAACGGAAGATGCTCGAATTATCTTGAAGGGGCATCAAGGATCTGTAAACACCGTTAAATTTGCTTATGGATGTATTGTATCTGGGTCACTGGATAATACGATTCGCGTATGGTCTCATAGAGGCACTGAAATTACCGTTCTACGTGGACATGAAGAGAAAATTACATGTTGTGATTTATATGTTAAATTGAAGGGTATTGGCAAAACAGAAATAACAGATGATGAGCAAAACCAAAGTTGGTCACAAATGGTTGATGAACAGGAATCAAAATTAGAAAAAACAGATGAATTGAGTCGTACTACTCATACTGTTGAACAAATGTTAATTGCCAGTGCATCGGAAGATGGTACCATTAAAATTTGGCGTCCTAATGAGCCCGAGCAAATTGCATGTATGGATGCACATTCCAAACCAATAAATGATGTTGTCGTTAGCAATGATTCAATTTTAACTTCATCACTCGATAATACAATTCGTTCATGGCAAATGCCCTCACAAAAAAAATTTACAAATTCAATTATGGCCACACCACAAGTACCCGAACCAACTTCTCATCTAGATGAAGTAACATCGATTTGTGTTAGTCGAGATTGTTCATTAATATTTACATCAAGTCGGGATGCTTATGTTCATATTTGGAAAGTAGAAAATGACTCAGATTCATCCGCAAAACGTTTTAAAATAATTCAGTCTATTAATGTTCATTCAAATCAAATTCTTCACATGGCTCTTGTTCAAAGTACATCAAATAAAAATTGTCTTATAACCTGTTCTGTTGACAAAACTATTAAATCGTTGTTTATAACAACAAATAATGATAACAAATGTATTATTAAACGTGAAAACCTGTTTTCAGTAAATGGTGTTGTCTCATTTATAAGTGGTCATTTTGATATGCCCTATTTTGTTATCGGTGAATCACCATCGTTAAGTAACTTGAACTTCTTTCTATGTTCATCGACAACATTAGGACGCTTAAAATATTACAAATCTAATACATGTCAATATCCGTTATGCTCATCGATAACATTGGATCAAAATAAACAGTGTATATTAACAGTTGGAGATATAAATGGACAACTATCCTTTTTCAATTTGACATTAATTGCTAATACTGATACTAAAATATTACAATCTTATTCAAAACAAATTGAAACAACTATAGATATAAAAACATCAAATGATGGCGAATATGAATGGGCAACATCGATTGAAGCTGAAAATGGCTATTATATCGGTACAACAGCTGGAAATGTCTATTATTCGTCTTCAAACACAATATTAGATCGTAAACAATGGGTGAAATTATCAATGGCTAATAATGGTAAATCAATAACTGGCATCTGTTCGTTAAATAATCAGTTTCTATTTACTTGTGGACATGATAATATGATAAAAGTTCAAAATATCAATGATTATTACAAAAATGAAAAAAATATTTTAGGACATTATCCTGTACCAGCACCATTAACAAAAATGCGAAGTTGGAATCAAAATGGAATTGTTGCGAGTGATAACATTGGAAATTTATATCTTGTGATATGGTATCATTAAAGTGATAATAATCAATTAGTTTTTTTCTATCTGTCCTTCATACTTGTTTGGATGAAAAATTAACTTTGTTTTAGTATTATTTACATAGAAAACTTTTATGCATATTAGGCTGTTTTATTATATACAAAAGAACAGGCACAATTCTCATTGTTTATGACTATTTTCGTTAACACTTCAAATGCTGTGATATTTCGCTGCCGGTTTTATTGATTAAGTGTCTTTCATTCTAAAAAACTTATATATTTCAAATAATTTTATATAAGATAAATATATAAGTATTGTTGTTGCTTTTTATATTTAGTGTGCTTATAACAATAGCAATACATTTTTTTATATTTAAACTTTCATTACTACTGTTTGTTCATAAAGTTAACTCATTTGTTTTGTATACACACAATTTACAATGAATAAGAATATCAAGACGACTTCTCTGTCCATGGTGTTTATGTCACTCGCTATAAAACATGCATTTGATAATTGATTTTGGTCGTATGAACACTGATAGAGATCTATTGTTTTAATTGATAGAATAGCATCTAGAACAAACTCTATGTATACGAACAAGAAGCAGAAAATTGATATACGCTTATTAATAGTGCATAAATTCTTAGATGATAGACACATTTTAATTCTATATCTTATCAAAAGAAACTCTTTTATAGAACTGAAACGTTTCCGCGCGCTACGTAACTGTTATTTCTTATAAAAAAACATATTATTCTAATATTTTCGTACCGTATTCGTTTATAATAGTTTTTAGTTTCATACTTCTCTTGTAAGTTTTATTAAATGTGAATTTTAAATGAAGTATAATGTGCCTGATGTAGAAAATGTGTGATGTACTAGAAATGAAAAATTTTTCAAAATCAAATGATAAGATTAAAAATGATAGATCAAAATAGTTTACAAAATGATGTACAAACATTTGATTCTCAAATATATCAATCTGTACATAAAGAAATAAATAGTTTGAATCTATTAAATGTTTATCTACAATCATCATTGTACAAAGCACAAACTCAACTATTAACATTAACAAACCGTTTCAATAAGGTTAATAGTGAAAAAGAGTTCATTGTTGAAAAATTACGAAAATCTAAACAACATTATTATAATGAGGAAGAAAAACGAAAAATTATCGAACAAAATGTAACATTTATGAAAATAACTGAAGATGTAAGAAAATTATATGATACGAATCAAATACAAATATTTTCAACATTAGCAACAAATAATGATTTTTCACAATTTTTAAAAAAAAGTGAACATCAAGTTGAACAATTACGAGATATATTTCATGAATTAAATATTGCTATTACAAATGATCATGATGATCATATCAGTAATTTACATATATCATTAAATCAATTAAATCAAAATGTTGAAAATACACGACAAGTTGTTGATAATGTTGTACATGCACATCAAACTGAAATACGAAAAAAAATAGCAAAACAAACTATACTTACATGTATAACATTCATATTTATTTCTATTTTAATATGGATGATTATTACATTCTCGATCATATTAAAACATAAATAAAATATTGTTATAAACTGATACACAACTCTTTATACTTTTGGCAATTATGTTTGACGTATTCAATTGTTAAGTTGTATAAGAGAGAATTTCTTGAATTTCCACTGCAAAAATTAATCAACATTTATTGTTCTCACTCGTTCTCACTTTTCTAGGCAATAGATGGGACGGCACCACTAGTGCAAGTAGATGCACCCAATGCTTAAGTAGAAAATAATATTGAAGTTTTGAATAGCGGCACACAGCAGAGATGCTGGATCCCATTATTTGACAACGTGATACATAAATTTTCAGTGAAAATGAGGTCTTTAATGATTGAGATGGTCAAGGATCGGGCAATTTTTAATGAATATTTTCTGACCAAAGTTTTTCAATTTTAATTCTGAAAACAGAATTTCTGCCTTAACAACAAATTTTTTGTGCAATGTTTTTGAGTTAAATTCATTTGGCGTCTAACAGACTGTATGAAATAAAATCCATTTTGAGTCAATTTCATTCCCTCCTATACTGCTTTATGTCCTACGTTGAGTTGTAGATGTTCTCGTACAGTGGACGTTCGATGACATGTACAGCTGTGTACTATGGCTGCTTTCTTGAGCCTATGCCATACTCACACGTACTAATTACTTGCGTTCTAATTATTATTACTATTTTGCTTCGGTCAGTCTGCATGAACTTCATAGCTCTTGTCATCATCATTTTCCAGCACTAAACTACAGTATCTTTTTTCTCATTCACATCATTTTTCTAAGAAAAAAAAGTATGTAATTTGCCTAGTGTGAGAAAAAATAATATGAACAGCGTTCACAAGAACAATGAATGATTTTGTTCAATGACAATTTTTAGGTCGACAGGCATTGTGTTTTTGATGCGAAAAGTGTGTTTTTTTTTCTTTGGTCGCTGTTTTGTGTAAAATGTGCGCCTCATGATCTAGAGAACTACGCTACTTAGAAAAGTTCTGAAAACAGAATGTTGTTCTTGATATATTCGAGATTAACCAATACTTTTGTTCATTTTTCGAGCAGTGGTCCACATTCTGCGCCCTAAGATGGAACAAGTTAACCGAAAATGTATTTGAGGCTTGAAGTTTTTCATACATTTTGTTACCGGTACCATTTTTTAAGGAAAACTTTGAGAACAAAATTATTTCTTTATTGAGAAAAGAATTTTCGTGAGGGAAAGACAAGAAGAAAACGAAGATTCGATGGTCAGAGTAATAAGACATAAAGTTATTGATAACTGAGATTGTTAGGAATATTAGGCAAAAAAAGACAGAAGAAAGATAAATTCGCTTGTTGTGTTGAAAAGAGTTATTATGAAAATATATATTCGTCGGTAGAAGTATTGAGCGATATTTGCTTTTCTTTTTCTGTTATCGATTCTGTTGATGGCATATGACGGTTTGTCATTGCCGAATCATTCATGGTATGTCGAAAATCAGGTAAAGAAAAATATTGATGTATATTTAAATCTGGACTACTGCTAGTATCATATGCTCATGTCGGACTTGCATATACTAGCTCAACATCATCGAATTTTTCATAGTCGAAACCTTGTAATGTGTTGTCACACGATAGCCACATAGAATTTCATTTGATAAATAAGACGTACGAAAATGACATGAAAAGTCTGTACAATCAAATATGCCTTCGATAATGACAATAATTTCAAAGTTTTGTTTTGATAATGTTGTTTTTGAATACCATATAACGGACTATTTTATCAATAACATGTTTAATAATTGTTGAACGAGAAAAAAATAATTGACCATTCCGTAGACGAGTCAATTAAATCTGATGCGGTATAATTTCACCTTCTTCTTTTATCCAAGAACGAATCATCATGACAAAAATCACTTGGGATGACGATAAATTTCCTGAAATGAAAGCTTTTAAATTAGATAGATGATCGTGACGTTAATTTTACCTATTCGAAATGATAAGCCCAATTGGTTATTATGTGGTAATTAATAGCTTTTTCACTGAAAACAAGATATTGTGATTTTTCTAAAAAAGAAAAAATGAATGCAGTTAGATATTAGTTCTAATAAGAAATAGAAGTACCTGCTGGTCTCGATAGTTTTGTGAACACTATCTGTGCAACGATATATGTAGAATATATCCTAATGATGATTGAATAGTTAATGATGAAACATCACGTATACATCTTGTTGTTACATATCGTGATCCATAACCGATTGTGTGTTGAGTCTCAACTGAAAATAGCAATGCAATCAAAAAATTATGAACGTTATAGACACACGTTTCTCAACCATTAGCCGTTAGCATCAATGCTGTACTGCTATTAAGGGCCTCCTCAGAATGAAATCTTTTTGTATCGAAAAATCAATTTGGAGACAAGCACATGGAAAGATAGCCTGGAGTGTCTACTTTCAAAATCTGTATCGCTTTTGGGCCCAGAACTGTTTTATCATGGTTTTCGAGAAAGTTTTCTAGAAGCCTTGAAAACCAGGATCTTCCAATAATAATTTTTTTCTGGACATGTAGATTTGTAAAGCGGACTTTTCTGATCAAAATATGACGTTGACAACTCTGTGTGATCTTGCGTTCAAAAATTACAAGCATTTTCCTAAATCCTACATGTTCTAAAACAGACCAACGAATGCACAGCGTTTTCTCTCAAAACACGTTTTTTGTTCGAACATGTCCAGTGTGGGGCACTTTTTTTAACTATACTTCAAGCTAGAGATCTCGGGTTGGTTTTATTTTAAACTAGATACCTAACTATGTGGGCTGATGAGACCAGATTTTTGAATTAGGCCTTATTTTTCTAACGAAGACCTAAATCAAAAATCTGGTCCCATCAGCCCACGCAGTTAGGTGTCTAGTTTAAAATAAACCTAACCCGAGATCTCTAGCTTGAAGTATATTTTAAAAAAGTGCCTCACAGTGGAAGGATTTTTTACCTTAAACTCTGGAAAACCCCGGAACGGTAAGAGGTAGCGAGGGAAAAAAATTTCATAACCACACTTTGATATGGCAAACATTTGCTGAAAGTGGCATCAAAATCGGATGTAAAACAAAAAGGGTTTTTTCTGAGGGGGTCCATTAAGTGATTGTTCTTCCTCCATCAATTAAAAATCACCAAGTTCAATTGAAACAGGAAAATATAGAAATGCAAGTATTATTGAACTCAATACGAAACCGAGTACAAATAATATATTAACGAGCCGCCATTCAGCTTCCATGATAAATCTAATAATATTGTTGTAAATACTCTGAATTCGGTGCACCAATCCGTAATTTAATGTGACCGTACTTTTCAACAAAACAATATTCATTTGATTTTGGTTTCTTATCAAGAGAAATATATAGAAAATTTTAGGGGCTATCCAATGATACATTTACTTTTTCATCTACGCGAAAGAAACATGAGAAAAACACATTTTACGTAACCTATAGTTGATCTTTGAGGGGTAAGCTATTGGCGCCCTATTCGTGAAGAATTACTCGGATTTTAGTTACAGAAAGTATGTGAAATTACCCAAAACCGACTGACAATACTTGTCTACTAATTACTCAAAAAGAAAACGTTACATTTTATAACTTACGCCCCGGTGACGACATTGTTTCATATACTTTGTAGAAATGAAAATCAAGTAAAAATTTCGAAATACGCATCAGTCAACTAAGTTTTTCATCCTAATTCTGAATATGATATTTTTATTGCATAAAAGTTTAGTTTCTAACTTTTTCGCATCAGATTTAGAAAAAATGAATTTTCTCAGCAAGGAAAAGGTTTAAAACAGCGAACCGTACTTTTTAAGCTGGAGTGTTGGCGAATATGATGACGTATAAATCGTAGTTTCAGTCCTTCACACAAAAAGATAGGTTTACAAAATGACGCATATCTTTTTAGCACCTGTCCATGGCGGACGAGTGTTTATTTCTGAACTGGGTCTAAGACCATTTTCTAATTCAATTCTCGATGCCGAATCAGAAAAAAATAGTTTGAACATTCTATGTTGGAACAGAAGTCGAAACGTTAACAAAAACGAACGATTTTTCGATTTTTGATACCTTTCGAGTTTTTTTACACGAAAAAAGCAACTGAACAAATTATAAACCTTATATTCGTATACAGCTCGAGTTCCTCTAGCCAATGGTGTATCACAAGTTCAGAAAAAAAAATTGTGTCATTTTTGCATTAGCTGCATCTTACCGGCAGACGAACTATTTCATATGTTCGTTTATATGCACGAATTCCATATCTAAATGACATACAGCACTTTGTACATTTTTCTGTTGATGAACTTAAGACGCTTCGAAACCTTAAAAATGAAGATAAAAAGTAAGTGTTAAAAATACACTATATATAATTTTTACTTTTTATTATCGCTTTTATAGTGCAAAAAAGCTAATCTAATGTTAGAAGAAGTCCTTCCATTATCAGTCAATGCTTAGTTAATTCTAGATCACCATTCAGCCTTTCTTAAATAGTTTGAGAAGATAGCAACGTTTGATTTGATATCTGAAGCGGATGTCTATACCCCTAATGAAACGGTTTTCGAAGCACAAAAAAGACAATGAGTCTATAGCAGCAAAGTCAGAGGTTTAGAAAGTATTTGGTTTCCCATGTGTGAAGTATCCTGGTGGTAATCTGCTGACCTCGAACTGGACTGGGATGGACTTAAAAAGCTGTTTTTCATGGACTCGGCCTGGACTGGACTAGATTTTTTTAGTTCATGGACTGGACTGGACTCAATAAGTCCATACGGAACTCTGGAACGTACTGAAGTTTTTCGAAAAATTCTTGCCTTTTCCGTAATAAAGCAGATAAATAGCAGATCTATCACAGAGATGAGGCCTCTCATTCTGTAAGTCTCGAACTGAGATGTTTCGCTTTCCTTTTCTTCTAACAATAGAATCAAAAATGCTTCTTCTTCGTGATTGTCTCGCTCATTAATAATATAATACATAAGATAGATTAAAACAAAAAAAAAAAAAAATTGGCCAAGAAAATAGAGAGAATACGAACTATTCATAATATATTCATATATGAGAATGCTTTAAACGAACAGTAAATTCTATTTGAAAAAAGGTTCTGGCAGATCTGCCCTTCGTGAAAAGGCATTCGGTTACAATTTTTGAAGCTGTTTGTAACGGTCAAATCGGGATTGGCAGTAATCTCCAATTTTCAATGATAATGAGTTTTACTAAAAAAACGTTTTTGGAGACAGATCATTATTAATAATATTTACCATGCAAATATGTCACACTTAAAAAATGACCTTATGGAATAGTTTAGATCCTGAAAAATACTAGAAAGATAAGATTTAGTTGAAAATGCTGATACATTCTAAAGTACATATCACCGGAACCAAAAAAATAAAGTTGATTTTGAGTTACTGAAAAATGCCTTTTCGTATTCAGCACACTCGATAACCCCGAGGATTTTCTACTTTTGAGAAGGAGTACTTCCAAAAGTTTAGGGAAAACTTTGAAACAAAGTGGTGCAACATAATTTCCACGGGAAAATAACATTAATTCGAAAATTTTTCCTAAACTTTTAGAAGCACTGCTCGCCAAAAATAGAAAATCTGCTGGGTTATCGAATGTGCTGAATACGAAAAAGAACTTTTTAGCAACTCAGAACCAACTTTATTTTTTTTCGATGATATGTATAGAAACATTTCTTTTCTATCTATCGCCTCATCATTTGTAAAGAGAAAAATCATTGTGCACCTTATATGTTTATGCAATTACAAACAAAGCAGTGATACGTAAAATAGTTCTAAATTATGTTGTATTATAGCTATACAGAACGAACGGAAGAGCGAAATAACGACCGATCGAAATATATTTTGAAACGCTCCCTTAGTTGATGTAACACTGAGCTGATGTATCTGTGGAAATTATCTTGTTCTGAAGAAAAATTATGAAAATTGTCCGATACTCGTTCAGTTCTGTTATTGTCTTTAGCACTAATATCTATTTTCTAACTACCCGTATGCACGTAATTACTTCCCTTTCACTCAAGTTGATTATTCAAAAATTTAGGTGTCGCTAAATTCGATATATTGCCTCTTTCTACTGCTCCTAGTCCTAAGCCATTATATTCTTAGAATAGTATTACTTTTATGCGACGATGACTTCGTTGTTTGCCGATAAACAAAGATCTATCTCTAGTTTTGTCTTCTACTTGCGCGCGACACCTACCATATCTCGAGTTGTTTATCGAAAAGGATGATCCGAATGGTTGTATTTCAAGAACGAAAGAAATGCTGCAGTCAGGTCACCCTCATCAATAGTTCTTTTTTATTCAGCTTGCTGAAATAACATATAGAATTTCTAAAACAATCATACTACTAGCACGAAATACGCCTTGCTTCAGAGAAGGAAATGCGTAATTGTTTGTAGATTGAAAGATAAAACTTCAGGGGGTTGCAATTTATCCTAAGAGACCTTTCTACAACATCCTTCAAATCAAATACGTGTGTAAATTGGTATATAAACCTAACATCATGAGGTTATGTATAGAATAATGCATAATATCAGTTTTTCTCACTAAGCAGTATTATTCCTTACAGAATATGAACGGTTTCCGTTTTTATCTGTTTGCTTGAATGAAGATAAGCTTGCTATATCTAATTTTGCACACAAATTGAACGTACTGCAAAACGTTATTATTCTCTTAGAGCTGTATCAGAAGCAGTATTTCTAATGATTGGTGGTCTTCTACTATTCAAAAATCAATTTCCACCCTGTTTTCCACTTCGAAAGCTAAGAAAACCACTTTGCGAATCACTTTCCTTTTTGAAGTTGCCATGATGAATGAATTGTCACAACAAATATATTGTTTATTTTATTTCTTTATTGTATAGTATATTTTGCTTTATCTGTTACTGACTACATCTCTGTTACATTTGTTTTCAAGAAAAGGAAACACATGGCTTTTCCTTTGTTTCACTCGTACTACAAATCAACGCAGAACAGAGTTAACTCAAGTTAACAAAGTGGAGATGGGTCCAACTTTTAGAGCACAATTCATTACAGCAGTTTTACAGATGCTACTTGCTGAAAACTTGTATTGAAACTTGCGTTTTAGAACAAAGTAGAAAGTATCACTTTGAGATTCAGAGCATAGTGGTTCAGTACTTTGATTGCAAATACGTTGATTAGCAGATTCTCGGCCTCTCTTGTACTTGAAATAGGTCTTGTTCTGTTCATTCGAGCAACGAAAGTACATTTGGAAATAGTCGCTTATCTCATTTTTGTCAGATGAAACCAACGGACATGTGTATCCACCCATTCGCTTTTCACATTTCTAACGCTATGCTGAATAGGGATTTGACTTCCGCTGTGATCTTGGTGTCACAACAAGCTTTTCTTCTACGATACTTGATAATGAGCAAAGTCATGATATCTCTACACCATGGTAGTGTATTTAAGGACACAACTCTCTGTCTCAAATTGAACATATAATGCTGTTGAAATGCGGTTATCAGATAACTTTAAGCAAAAAGTGAAAGGAAGAGCTAAAAATCCGTTGTTTACTATTAAATGTCGACTAACGACTTTTTCTCTATGGTAGCTTATAATATATACTTTATGAGACTTTAGCCAAACGATCGTCTGGATACTGTGAGATGCTCTAGAAGAGGGAACTAATCCATAGTTGGGTCTTAATATTGACCTCAACATTAGGGTACAACTATAAACATCTTGATCAAATAGAAAATCTGCAACCCTTGGCAGACACTGTAGGACGAGAAAATCAAATGAGCCGATATACACACTTATACAAACCTGTTCTTTGCATCAGGTATTTACTGATAAATATTTATTCTTTTTACAGATACGAGAATGTAAGATGTAAAACTCAATAATTCTTTTATCAATCATAAAACCAAATACGTCAACAACAATGCACTGTGAGTATTTACGGTAAACTGTTTCAGTCGTAAATATGAGATCAATTTTTATTATAGTCTACTAATATTCATATTCTATGTCGCCAAATAATTTATTTTCACGATTACGGCTGTATAATCGTCGCTATCGTGAACGTCAATCACAACAAGCAAATTCTGATCAACAAACTTTATTTTCTCGTACATCATCCACCGCAACGAATACGCCAGGGTCAACTGGCAGACGCTTTTTTACTTCATTTTCAAAAAAATTTGAACGTAATTATGTATCAGCATCATGTTCAATGTTTGCTATTGCGGCATTGGCCGTTTCTATGGCCGATTATCGTTGGTTCTGGTTAAATGGTGGTGGCTGCAATTCGAAATATATCGGGTTAAGCATGTTTTTTGCTGTGGGAAAATTATATGTCGTTCGATCAAACGCACCATGGGATCCATCAATTCCAAATGATATTTATGAATTTAAAGTTAATGAATATTTAGGTATATGAAAAAGAATAGCTATTTTGTAACATTAATCAAAAGTTGAATTATCACTCTGTTTTTGCTTAAGATTTGGTTGGTTGTGTCGACACGCGATCTATCTTAGTTTTACGTTTAATTATAACATTAATTTGTTTATCCATCTTCTGTTCAACGATTGGGTTTCTGCTTGATGCATTAGGTATGTACACTTGATCCCCATATGGTCATAAAACATTATATTTATTAATAGGACCGATGAGATTTGGATTGAAATTTATGCGTCGACATGCGTTCTGGCATCTGATATCTGGTATTGTTTGTTTATATACTCGCTGTTGCATCCAACAGATGACGATTTTTTCCAAAAGTTCTTTATTGACAGTTTTTCAAAATTTTAAACCTACAAATTATTTCTATTTTCTACTTTTAGTTCTTCTTTGTACGATAATCAGTGGACTATGTTTCTGGGCATCTGAATTGATTTATGATATACAAGATAAAAATCGTTCAAAAATTGGAAAAAAAGTTGAAGTGCATTTTGATGTTGCCTATTATTTAATTGTTATATCCAGTGGTTTATCTCTACTAGCAGCAGCATTCGCACTATTAAGAAGATATCCAACATCTGAAGAAGAACATTTCGAGAGGTAATAAGATAAAAGTAGAAAATTAGTTACATTTATCTTTTTTTCTTTACAATAGACTTATGGAAGATTGGTCTAGTCGAGAAGAACCATTATTTATTGAACGTGCGCTACCAGCGACCACCACGACATCAATTACAGATGAACCACCTCCAATTTATTCCGTGTAGTAGTCGTTTTTTCTCTGTAAAAAGTGTATTAAACTTTTGAATATGGAGATCTGTCTTTGTGCATTGAATCTCTTTTTATTTCTTATTTCCTAGAATTTGTTATTTTCGAATTGTGGACGTAACTGAACACATCAATATATTGCTAACAGTGAAATTTCTTTAGGACTTTTTCTCTTTTGTTTATTAATGAATTTTTCAGAAAAATACTACGTATAAATGATGATTCCGTCTTTTGTTTTATATATATTTTTTAATTATTTCTTTATCCAATGTATGTATATTGCTGTTGTTCTCGTTCTTATTGTTTATAAATTCAAAAAACAAAATTATTATATCAAATATATGAAAACATGTCATTTCTAGTCGATTGATTGCACGAGTAAAGTTTCATATTTTCTTTTTGTTTCGACTTTCGATTATAGGCTAATTCATCAATTCCACTGGCCATAACACTTTCATTCAAAGAGGCTTGTCGACATCAAAACATTTTGAATTTAAATTTACGGTTGACAGACAATTCACAGTCACATAGTTTTCCGAAGATTTTGAGTATAAGCTCACTGAGATGTATCACGTAGATTAGAAACTGTCGTAACTACTGAGGATAGGATTGGGATTGAACCTATAGTTAGAAGCAATTATCCTTTTCTTATAAATACAGAATAAAGATTTCAGGAAGAAAATCTTGCTAATCGTTTACTATCATTATCTTCTTTGGAGTGGGTAAGATCAATCGGTACGACTCTGTCTAAATTGCTTAATATTCCAAATGGAGCGATTAATGTTTTGCTGTTCCATCATGCATTTGTGATCATGATCTAATAGTTTGAATAAATCAAATTCCATTTGGTAATTACGATTATCATAAAATGAGAAAGGAAGAAGAAAACGCTTAAGGCTCGTATTCATATGTATAATAATTGTGTTTATTGACAGCAGTCATGAGCAGATTTTTCTGTCCTTTTATTCAGAATGGTGTAAGAGATTAAGAGTAGGAATTGTACTTAATCTGAAGATGCAGAATAAACTATATGAACAACACGCTAACTAATCACTTGTTTCGAATACTTTGAACATATGCATTGTAGTTTTTTCTTTGACAAGATCACGGTTCAATCTGATCTAAAGGATTCAAGTCAAAAATATTTTTATTTTCAATTGTTTCTAGTTTTGATTGTTGCATAGATTCTATAGTTTTCATACATCTTTAATGTAGGAAATAAAACTTTATTGTAGCTTTCTTGCTTTTCTAGACTTTAACTAAAAAATGACCTGTACAACGTTAATATCATGGAAATTAATTCCGTTATAAGTGCAGTCATCTTTTTCAACAGAAACAAATTTTACTGGCTACAAAACATCTTGTGTGTACAAGCAAGCAGCTGATAGTATGTAAGAGGCCTATGACTTGAATGTCAAAAATCGAGTGTTTTCTTATTGACGTAAAGAGAGTGAACGTGGACTTTATTTGAAAACATATGAGCATACTATCTTATGAAAGATTCTTTTTGTAAGATTCATTCTCGTTAAGTGACGTATTCAGTGCTATGTTCCTTTCTAGTACAAAGACTTTTACTTTATTTTAGAAATTAAATCATTACTAAACGAACAGCGTTAAAATATACTCGACCGTTGATCGTTCGAGAGTCAACTATCTTTTTGTTTTTACAATTTCATTTTATTTCAATTGTATGTGCATATGTTATATAATGGTTCTTTCTGAACGTCAAAAAGATGAACTGTAAGCGTGTGCGTGTGTAAAGAACTTTTAACAGCCTACTTTAAGAATGTCTCTTTATTTAGCAATCAAGCTATAGCAGACTATTTAGCATCGAATAGTTATCTGTCTGCATATAAAGAGTTTTGCCGAGAGGCAAACATTGTACGAGTATGCAATCACTAATTCTTCTGTGTATCCATGCTCACTGTCCCAATATTTTTATTTTTTTCTCATTTTAGCCAGCCAATGAAACTACTGATAAAAAAGACCAACTTGAAAAGAAATGGACATCTGTTATACGATTACAAAAAAAGGTATAAACAGGATATTTTTGGTGTAATATAGGAATTGATCTTATTTTTTATTTTCAAGGTGATGGATCTCGAAACGAAATTACATGAAGCACAACAAGAAGCCACAACTGGAGGCCCCACTCGTGATAAACGTTCACCAACTGAATGGGTTCCTCGTCCTCCAGAAAAGTTTGATCTAAAAGGCCATCGTGATCCTGTGACACGTGTTATATTTCATCCAACATTTTCACTAATAGCATCGGCAAGTGAAGATGCAACAATTAAAGTGAGAAATTTCTTTGGAATGTCTTGATTCGTGGCTCTAATCTTATTTCATCTTTCTCTAGATATGGGATTATGAGACGGGTGATCACGATCGAACGTTAAAAGGGCATACAGCGCCCGTACAAGATATTGCATTTGATCATACTGGAAAATGGCTTGGTAAGAATACTGAAAAAAATCTACAGTAATCAGTTGATTGTTCCATTTTGTTTAAAGTTTCTTGTTCTGCCGATATGAGTGTGAGACTGTGGGATTTCCAGTCATACCAGTGTGTGAAAACTATGCATGGTAAGCAATTTGATAAATGTATTTCATAGATCTATTCACGTCTTTGAGCTGTTTTCATTTCATCAAAAAAGGTCATGATCACAATGTATCTTCCGTTACGTTTACTCCAAGTGGTGATCATATTATTTCCAGTAGTAGAGATAAAACAATCAAAATTTGGGAAGTTTCAACCACGTGAGTCTCACTGATGACCATTTGTATCAATAACTCTTTAAGCAATGTAATAATTTTTAGATTTTGTATCAAAACAATTACCGGTCATAGAGAGTGGGTGCGTATGGTGCGTGTTTATCATGATGGTTCGCTAATAGCCAGTTGTTCAAACGATCATGTAAGTAAAAAAGCTTTTTAACCGGTATATTTTCATGTTAATTCCTCTTTTTAGACTGTTCGTGTGTGGGTAATGTCAAGTGGAGACTGCAAAGCGGAATTACGCGGCCATGATAACGCTATCGAATGTATAGCATGGGCACCTGAAAGTGCCGCACCGCACATCGCTGAAGCAGCTGGAGAAGACGTATGTTAAACTAAACTATTATATTTATTGAAATTACAATAATTTTTTCACGGTTTAGGCTAAAAAACGATCCGGTCCGTACTTGGTGTCCGGTGCACGAGATAAAATCATCAAAGTCTGGGATGTAGCAAATGGACTTTGTCTTTTTACTCTGGTAAACAAAAGTATTTGAAATCATTTGTCCTGTTTGATATTCATGCTGCTTTAGTTTCATAAATAGTCAGATTTAGTTTCTTAATCTGCAAAAAGAAACTTTCATCTTAGATTATAGGCTCGCTGATATATTTTTCTACTTGTTGAAGATTCACTAAAATATACCTGAACTATTATTACGATTACCGAGTTATATTTATATTATATGTTCTAGAATGGACACGATAATTGGATTCGGGGATTAGTATTTCATCCTGGGGGAAAATTTCTTTTAAGTTGTTCAGACGATAAAACATTAAGTATATGGGATATCAAAAATAAACGCAATACAAAAACAATCGAAGCACATTCTCATTTTTGCACGTCTCTCGGTACGTACTTATATGTATATCTTCAATCTATTAAGCAGTATTGTCATTATTTGTTTTTTTCTCTCCCTCTCTCTATTTTAGATATGCATCGAAATAAACCTTATGTAATTACTGGCAGTGTTGACTCATCAATCAAAGTATGGGAATGTCGTTAAGAACTAGATATAGATAACTAAATAGGCAACGTTGTCTTGGTTTTGATTTTTGTTCTTGTTCTTGTTTTCATCATAAAATTTTAAGAAACAGACTGATTTAACGTGTGATGACATTTATTTTTGTTTTTCTGTTTTTTTTGTGTACAACAAGCAATAGATATTCGTAGTCAAACCAAATTTTGAAAAAAATGTATCATGAAAAATTCTCTCTCTGTTGCTCTGCCATTTGTTTTATGATCAAATTGTTGATTTATACATGTTGCTCTCCGCTTAATTAGACATCTAAACCAGTTTTTCATCTCTCCACATCCTCCTCCTGCTTGGAGGAGATTCAA